TTTCAAAACCGTTTTTTATATTTCAAAACCGTTTTTTATGTTTCAAAACCGTTTTTTATATTTCAAAACCTTTTTTTATATATCAAAACCGTTTTTTATATTTCAAAACCGTTTTTTATATTTCAAAACCGTTTTTTTTATATTTCAAAACCGTTTTTTTATTTTTCAAAACTGTTTTTTTTCAAAACCTTTTTTAACCCTTTTTTCAAAACCTTTTTTAAAACCTTTTTAAAACCTTTTTTTTTTTTTGTTTCAAAACCTTTTTTTTCTTTTTTTTCAAAACCTTTTTTTCTTTTTTGTTTCAAAACCTTTTTTTTTCTTTTTTTCAAAACCTTTTTTTTTTGTTTCAAAACCTTTTTTTTTCAAAACCCTTTTTTTTGTTTTTCAATTTTTTTTTGGCGCAAACATTTTATGTAACAACGGCGGTTTCGAATTTCCACGCGCCACCAAACCGCTTTCAGCCAAGCACTTTATGTCACAGCTCCTTATCAAACTACGTCGAACAGCCAACAGCATGTAACATGCGCACCACTAGCCCACCCGTCAAAACAGTTGCAAACAGAAAACAAATGAACAAATGAAATATATTTGAATTATTAAAATATTAGTTTAAAAGTATTTTTTTTTTTTGTTTTTTTTTTATTATATGCACTCGTACATTTGATGTTTTTATTTTTATTGTTTTTTCATAAAATATAAATTATATACAAGAAGACTTTTTGAAACTGCTATTGATTTCATAAAACATTTTTATATAAATATTTAAAAGATTTGTATGTCGAACTCCTGCGAGAGGCTCGACACTGTACGAATATGTGCCGTAGTTTGTAGTGTAGGTTAATAAATGTCAGCAATACAAGCTAGTTAAAAGTATAAAAAAATAAAAATCGAGTGGAAACGAGCAACACCAAGTGACTGGTTTAGTAAAGTTAATGTGTGCTTAAGAAATTGTAAGCAAATTATATTGTAATTATAATTTTTATAAAATTAATTTCGCGTACCTCTGAATTAATTCATAAAGCAATTAGTTACATATTTATTTTGTAAATAAATGAAGAAACAAAAACTACACAACAACAAATGTTGCCAGCAACACAGCGTGCAAGCAGCTGGTGTCTAACATATTGTAAATTGTACAAATTCGCCATGCCTACACGCTGTTAACACAACAACACACTCATAGACATTTTTGAATTAAATAAATTCGTAATTTGTAAAACAAAATAAAAACTACAACAATTAATTTAAGCATTTGTAGCATTAAGTGCGCAAGCGTAAGGTGTGTGCGCTCAACGCCAACACTCAGTTAAACATTTAGTCAAAATCACAAAGTAAAATTGAAATCACTAGCAATTAAGTTTAGTGCGTGTTTACTAGGTTTTTTGTTAAATTTAATTTTACTTTCATTTGATCACGTGCTAGTGCGAAAGCGCGCCAGCGAGTGCAAAATAGTTAAATGCAAACAGACAAGACTTGTATTGTTTTAGAAACTTCGACTTATCGCGATTAAGTTTTCATACGAACGTCAATGCCACATTACCGTATACGTTTGCCAAGTAACGGATTTTTCGTAAGGTAATTAAAGCGACATACATACATGCACACTATATTATATATAGCGATGTGTATGTCAGCGCCGTCACGCTTCTTTCAAGAGTAAGCCGTTAGTTGAAATGATAGTTTTTAATTTTTACATACTCTTAGCCTATAATTGTAATATAATTTTTCTACACACACACACACACACAACACTGACACATAAGAACTTGGTACAAGCTTACACTTAAGTTAAAAATGTCTGTTTTACTATAATTCAGTTTCGAAAATATTTTTTTATTTTTAGCGCTTGTTCATTAAATTTGCTGCATTATTTTGTATCAATGATTGTTTAGCATATTTTAAACATATTTGTAGCAGCTAGTAAAAATGCATACATACATATACTATACAACTTCATACATATTAACGGTATAATTTTTAAGCATATTTTATAGTTAACTTAATTATTGCGCGTGTGTTCATAACATATACATATGCACATACATATATGTATGTATGTATGTATGTATACATACGTACAACTTATCTTATGCATTTTCATAAACTTAATACCGCAATAATTTGTACATACATACATACAACTTAAGAATCACGCAGGTACATTATACACGTACACACACATGCATACGACATGTTGCGTTCATTTTACATACCTATTAGCATTTTTCCATTATTGTGAAATATATGAAAAACATTTTTTAAATAAAAAAAAAACACAATTGATTTTTTATTTACACACATGACATACATTGTGGTTATACATACATATGTATGCATACAAAACATTTTTTTCTATTTTTTTTATTAAAATTATACACAAACGTTGCAAATAAAAATGAAAGTTTCAGGCAGACGCATCGAACAATTGATAAAGGCAGAGAACGTAAATGAATTCATTAACATTCTCTGAATAAACATTTTCCAAGCAACGCTCGAAAGTATGCAAGACTTTACGCAACCAGTGTAATGGCACACATTTGTTGCGCAGCATTGCCGCCAAGCAACATGTTTCTGGCAATGACATTGCTAAACCAGAGAACTTAAAACAATTAATTACAACTTAATTACAATTAAGTTCTCTGGCTAAACGTACATTTAATTAACTTTATTGGAAATAATATAAATATTTTATATTTATTTGTATTATTTTTTGAAAATTACGAAATTTGCTTTTGAGTAATAAATGAAAGCATTCCAATCATAATTCAATTATATAAGGTTGTGTTACTTAAGCGAGTGCTTTACAAAAATATTTTTAATCCATAATGTCAAATAACCATTTTATATCCGAAACAGCGTATACTAAGTTTGCCACGAAGTGTGGTGTAACGCCCAGAAAGAAATATTGAACACCCTATAAAGTATACATATAAATGAACAGTGTGATGGGCCAAGTGGATTGTCCGTTTGTCTGTCCGTTCGTGCGTCTGTGCTTCCGTCTGTATATATACGAATTAGTCTCAGTTTTTAAGCTATCGAACTGAAATCTTGCATCCATCCTTTTCGCACCAAAAAGCTGCGCATTTGTCGGAACGGCTGATATCGGACCACTCTAGCATATAGTAGCTGTCATACAAACTGCACGATCGGAATTAAGAGCTTGTATGAAAAACTTTTTTAATTTGACGAGATATCTTCACAATATTTAGCATGGATTATTGCCATAGTAAATGATGCAATCTCCTTAAAACCTGTTTAGATCGGATCAATATAGCTTATAGCTGCCAAACAAACTGTGTGATTTGTATTCAGTTATCACACAAAAACGCATTTTCATTGGTTGGCTTAACAAAACAAAGCAAAACAGCCGATTTGGACATTATGAATTAAAACCGTTTTGACAAATTGTTGTTTGTGGGCTTTTCAACACAAACTTTTATAATTGCAACAAATTTCCAATGGTAATAGAATTTTAAATATTTTCGATATTTTCAAGCAGCTCATATGTATGTATGTGTTTTTCTTTCAGTTCAACTACTACCCAATATTCTGTGCGTTCTTTTTAAGCGTGCCGCGCCTGTATATCACGCATCGTGCTTTATCAATTTTCCGCATAACAATTATTTACACACATACATACAAACGTGCGCAATTTGATGGATGATAATTGCGGCTTTATTGGCATTTATAAACATCACATTGTAACAAAAACATAAGGCCGCACGAAATTGCATTTGAAACGAAATTTAGCACGTGATTGATTTTGCTAGTAATTTTTTTTAAGTTTTCCTTTCTTTTAATTTTTTGAGAGGCAAATATATTATTGAATTTTAGCATATTATGCATATAAATTTTATATGCATTTAAATATTATAAAATTATGCGAAATGCTTCCACTTTCCGTTAAAATAAACGTTTTTCTTCCAAGCGCCGCTTGCAACCACTAATTTTTTAGGTTGAATACCCAAATTGGCACTAGATTAGCAGGCACAAAGTGTAAATAGGGCACGAAAAGTTAAAATTTTCGCAGTCGTCTTTATATTTGTACATAGTAAGTAGTTTGAAAATCAGTAAATAATAAAAAGTATATCATCACTGCCAAATTAATTAAACCGACTGATTGCTTTAACAATGGAGAGAATTAGTAAGGCAAAAAACCACTAAAACGAGTAATTACAAATCAAATTCTGTTTGATTTTCGCAAAAAGTCATAAAAACATATAACAAGTAAGAATACCAATAAATAAATAAATGTAATCATAAATGTTGTCTTGTAGAAATTAATAAGTAGTGCAAGTAAATAATAAAACATACATAAATATATATATATATTTTCCAAAGCAATCATACTAAAATTATGAAATATAAATGTGGCATAAAAATATGTAATAATAAATAAATAAACTCTTATACTCAGATATCGATGTTGCAATTTTCATAACAATACTATTTAAAAATTATTATGCTTATTCAAAGTTAGGTGAGTTATCATTTTTAAATGATTTGAAAGTGAGTGTGTGAAAAATAAATAATAAAAATAAAAATTTTAAATTATATATACAAATTAAGCAGTGCTGTAATATATAGAATTAAATAAAAGAGCAAAGTTTTAAAATGGTTTTAATAATTTCGAAACTAAATTTAATAATTGGCAATAAAACTAAGTATAAAAATAAAGTTTTCATTTGTGAAAAAAACTTTAATTTCTTTTTTAATTTCTGCATTTTTTTTATAAAAAAATATTTGCAAGAAATAATATATAATTTTTTAGGTAACATAATGCATAAAATACACAAAAAAAATTAATTTCCGTTATACAAGTCAGCCTTGTGTTATTTCGAACTTTTGGAAACAATATTTTGTTTTAGTTTTTCCATAACAGTAACTCGTTCAAATTCAAAAATTGGCGCAACATAGAGCAATATTAAAAAACAATATATTGAATTTTAAAGCTAATAATAATATTAATTATTATATGCAGCTACTTAAAAAAAAATACGTAAAAAAATATTTATTAAATATGCTATATTTACTTTAAATATTTTTTTACTGATATTTTTTTTTTTTTTTTTTTTTTTTTTTTTGTTTGGCTAAAATTTCTACTAACAGCAATACATAATAAGTATTTATTTGGACCTCAAGCAATTATTTTAGCTGTACTCACGCCGAAATTGTTAGTCTGTTCATTTGTTAGTTTTGTGTTTTTATTTTCATACGCTCAAATTGTTTGATAAAAATATTTATAAAATGTGAACTAACAAATTTCCAGATTACCGAGCTCAGTGTAAATACAACTACCTCATTTTTAAGCGCTTCATTATACAAATATGCTATTTCCTGTTAAGGCAGCCGGCAGCACAATTATAATTAACTTTTTAAATAGTAAATAGAAATTCGTGAACATTGAATTAAACAAAGGAGACACTTAAAACAATAATTTAAATACTATAGTAATTGGTGAAAAATTCAATATACTCGTAAAAGGTATCGATCGCACAAAATTTGCCTTCAAACTTTTAAAATTTGTTCAAAATAATAAAATACATTTTATAACTCAAAAACAAAAAAAAAAAAAATCAAAACTGCGCATGGCAAACGACTAAAATTAAGAAAGCATATATACAAAAATTTGGAAATTTTAAAACCCAATAAAATAGAAATTATAAAGAAAAAACAATTAAAATTCATAGCTGGAAATGGTGTAGAAAACTACCTCAAATTTTGCATGAAGCAACTGAAAGTTTAAGAAAAAACAATACAAAAACAAAACATATTCAACATTAAAGATACAGTACACAGTAACAGTACTGCATACAAGACAAAGCAAGCAAACATGGGAAAAATTTAACTTTTTTACATTTCAATACCAAGCAAACAAAACGTCAAAATATGAAGAAAATTTCGAAATAAGAAAAAATATAACTAAGCATTTTTAGTATCAAAAAAACAAAAAAATAATAATAACAATAATAAAAAACCTAAGCTAATAAATTTGCAAACTAACTTTAAAACACTTCCAACTTTTTCAAAAAAAAAAAAACATATGGAAAATATTTTTATAGAGATTGACTAAGTTCGTGTTAACAAAATACGAGTACTTTTTTATTTATATGTGACAGACTAATGTATTACAAAAATTATATTATATTTTAACAATTTTTTGTTTGAGAACAATTGCATGAATATAAAAATCTACTCTAACCAGTTTTTTTTTAATATTTTATTAAATAAATTCATTTTGTTTGCATTAAATTGTATTAAAGTAAAATATATGCGTAGCTACATACTTACATACATGTACTTCGCTTTCATGTGTCATAACAGAAGGTCGCTTAAATTTTTTTGTTTTTGTTGTAAATAGCGCCTTTATACTAAGTAGTGGATAGTCGTGTTTGTCAACCTTTTGTTAAATGAATTTCTAACAGAGGTGAATATTTTAGAAGATAACTGCTTTAAACAAATAAAATGAATATGTTTAAAATTGTATTGTAATATAAAAAATATTTATGGCAAATAAATACATTATGCACATACTAAACATAGACATATTTTAAACAGAAGCGAATTTTTATATGATTTTATATTCAAATCCTAAACACATATTTATTGCATAAAAACATAATAAATTTTTGTTTTTATTATTATATAGTTTTAACTAAACTTATATTGAACATTATGTAAGCATAAATAAAACGAACCTACATATTTATCAATAGTTATAGTATAGTATTTACTAACCCAAAAAAAGTCTCAAAATGTAATTACATACATACATATACACTTAAAAATACATACATACATATTATACGAGTAATATAATTATTAAAGAAATATATAGAATTGTAAATTGATTGTATAAAATCAAGCATTTTCTTTAAAAGCGCGATGAGGTGAGTTTTCCGCGAGAATGAATCAGCTGATTGCAAATTAATACATATGCGCATATACTTGTATGCATTTACGTAGGTATGTAGACATTAACATAAACTTTGTATTAATATTTACTGACTTTTTCACACTTCGCCGACTAACTTATTTCAAGTTAAAATATGTATATGCATATATATTTGGGAAACACAATTAGTTGCCATGCACACTAGAGCTATCAATGGCGGGTAATAATTGTTTGGAAAATAGATTTGCCACTGGTATTATGACAAACGAGTCTCATGATAACGGTAAAGAAACTTGGTACTTAACCACTGCCGCATGAATTGTCAATGCCGGTGGGTGGGTTGTTCCGAATGGTTTTCTACAGCTTTTATGTCATTAAGTCGAACAGCTGACCAAGCAAGATCACGCTTTATTTGAAGAGCGTAAAATATACGTGTGTTAAAGCACTGGTTTAATTCTCATTAGGTGATCCATCAAATGACGAAAATATCTAAGTAAATGTATAAATATATTTGTGTTACGCCTTTGGCCTCAAAGCAGAGAATGTTATTGAATATTCATAAAAATTATATTCATTAACATTCTTCCATGGAATAGCTATTAGTTTGCATAGAAATGATAGCATATTCTTAAAGAGGATTCTAATAAGTCTTCAAATTTAAATGGAAGCATTTACGTTGCACTTATAAACATAATTATTATAAACGTTAAGAATATGTTCCCGAAAAATTTTTTTTTTTTTATTTGTTTGTGAATATATTTTTATTTTTGAAATCTATTTTAGAAAAAAATTAGCAAATTGAATAAAAAAAATCCAAAGAGATAAGAAAGTCTCACTGGATATCAATATTAATATACAACATACCGGTTTAGAAGCAGATTATTGGTTTTGAATCACTTTCTCAATAGTTCTTTATTATGTGAATATACTTTTTTGCTATATTAGAAAAAATTTACAAATTATATTAAAAATAAAACAAAAGAGATAAGAAAATCTCACTGGATATCAAATCAATATCATCATTTATATTATATATCAGATGAATGATGGCTTTGAACCACTTTCCCAAGAGTCCTTTAATAATATAATTGCACTGCAGCCATGTATAAGACTTATTGTGAATAGGCACAGAAACAATTGATTTCCTAAAAAGACAATACAGGGTGTTGTTAAACAACAAAATTAACATATGAATTGAATGAAAATTCTGCACTAATTTCTAATTTAGTGAAAAAAATTTAACAAAAAAAATTGTGTTCAAGTGAAAATTAAAAAGAAAATGTCATTTACTTCACGTCTCTGTCGTGTTATAAATTCCTCTACACACGTGCAACGTTATGCAACGCGCAACATTATTGGCAGCACACAGGCAGCATGGTCTTTGCGCTGGAACAAAAATCTGGGAAGAAATAGTAGGCCTATATTCATATATTTACATAACATAAATCTTTATTTAAGCTATTGCTCATTTGGCAGTCCAACAATTTGCACGTTGCATGAGTACGGAGTCAACTGCATCCGCGAATGTTGAAGACCAAGGACGTTTCCACACTATTATCAGGCAAACTGAAAAGCCGGTCGGTGATGCTGATAAGCATGAATTTCAAGCTGAGACGCGTATGTTGCTGGACATTGTCGCGCGTTCCCTATATTCCGAAAATGAAGTATTTGTTCGGGAATTAATTTCGAACGCTAGTGATGCATTGGAGAAATTTCGTTACACTGTCCATACCGCTGGCGAAAATGAGAAAAACTTTGAAGGTACAGATCGGCCGTTAGAAATACATATTGCTACTGATAAACAGTCAATGCAATTAACGATACAGGTAAAAATTAAATAATTTGTTTATATAAACGCTATATAGTATTACGCAAAAGGTTTCTATAAATCATATTCTAACTGAATGTTTAGGACACAGGTATTGGCATGACTCGCGAGGAGCTTATCAATAATCTCGGTATGATTGCACGCAGCGGCTCAAAAAAATTCTTGGAACAGGTTAAAGAAGCAGGTGGAGGTGTCGAAAACTCCTCGAATATTATTGGACAATTTGGTGTTGGTTTTTATTCCGCCTTTATGGTAGCTGATAAAGTGGAAGTGTTTACTAAATCTTCGAAAGTAGATTCACAGGGATTACGCTGGGCGTCTGATGGATCTGGTTCATATGAAATTCAGGAAGCTGATGGTGTAGCGCATGGCACTAAAATTGTTATACATTTAAAAACAGAATGTAGAGAATATGCAGATGAGGATCGTATTAGAGGTAGGAATTAAAAACATTGTTTAAAAATAATAAAATATAAATAGTTAATATTTTTGTAAAGCGGTGATCAAGAAATATAGTAACTTTGTTGGTTCACCAATATTTTTGAATGGTAAACGCGCTAATGATATTCAGCCCTTATGGTTAATGGAACCGAAAGATGTGTCACAAGAGCAGCATAATGAGTTCTATAGATTCATTGGCAACACTTTTGATACACCACGTTTCGTATTGCATTACAAGGTAATACCATGCATAGAGTTTATAGTTTATTATACATTTTCTAAAATAATGAAATTATTCACAGACTGATGTGCCGCTCAGCATTCGTGCTTTACTCTATTTCCCCGAAGGTAAACCCGGTTTATTCGATATGACACGTGACGCTAATGTGGGTGTGGCTTTATATACGCGAAAGGTTTTAATACAATCTAAAACAGAAAATCTGGTGCCCAAATGGCTACGATTTATTAAAGGTTTGGTTTTTGCTTTAATGAAATAATAACAAATTTTTAATCTCTTCGAATATTATTTTTTTAAAGGCGTTGTGGACTCGGAAGATATACCCTTAAATTTAAGTCGCGAACTGCTTCAGAATAGCGCTTTAATCAAGTTAGTTTTACTTATAAAATTCTGTTGTAATTTAGTTGCATAATTTATTCCGTTACTTTTTCAGAAAGCTGTCCAATGTGCTTGCAACTCGTGTACTGCGTTTCCTGCAGGAACGTGCGAAAAAGCAGCCTGAAGAGTATGCTGCTTTTTATAAGGATTATGGCCTATTCCTCAAGGAGGGCATTGTTACGTCAAACGATCACAATGAAAAGGAAAGCATTGCCAAACTTTTGCGTTTCGATTCGTCAAAGAATGCGGATGGCAATCGTATATCTCTCTTAGATTATTGCACAAATGTTGGTGAACAAAAGGACATCTACTATTTAGCTGCGCCAAATCGTGTACTAGCGGAATCCTCTCCTTATTACGAAAGCTTGAAGAAACGAGGCGTTGAAGTTTTATTCTGCTACGAACCCTATGATGAGCTTGTCCTCATGCAATTGGGTACATTCCAAGGTAAAAAACTAGTTTCTGTTGAAAAGGAAATGCGTGAGGATGATGCAGGTGAAAAGGTAACAGACTATGGCGAAGGCAGTTTATTACGTTCGCAGATCGACGAACTCTTACCCTGGATACGAGAGAAACTTAGTGGCAAAGTGGTGAATGTTAAGGTGACGACTCGCCTTGACACACATCCTTGTGTGATTACGGTAGAAGAAATGGCGGCAGCGCGACATTTCATTCGCACACAGAGTCATCAATTGCCCGAAGAAAATCGTTTTGCATTGCTGCAGCCCCAATTAGAGATAAATCCTAAGTAATTTCATAAAGCAAATATTTTAACAGAGCAAATTTTAATTACTTTCTCTCTCTCATTTTCTCATTTTATAGGCATGAAATTATTAAGAAATTGAATAAGTTGCGCACAAGTGATCCTGAGCTTGCGGAGTTGGTTACACAACAGCTTTTTGCGAACGCTATGGTCGGCGCTGGACTCGCCGAGGACCCGCGTACGCTTCTGCTGACAATGAACGAATTGTTGACGAAAGCTTTGGAGAAGCATTAGAAAACTATTATTTAAAAATTAAATAAGATTTATGTATATTTTTTTGAATTGAGCAAAATTACTTCCGTTTTTCGTTTGCTGTGTGAATGTACAAAAACATGAAATAATTAACTTAATACTACACATATTATTTTAATTGTAAAAATAAAAATAAGAAATGCAAATGAAAAAGAAATACAAAAGCATTTAGCTGTTTAGATTTACGCAGTCACAAAACATACTATACTCCTTTTGATTTTTTAATAATATTCACTTACAATAACACTTTGTAAGCCGCTATAAAATAAGTTTCAGTAGGTTTTGAAATTTTGTTTCTTTTCGATCAGTTAAATAAAATCGTTTTGAGATTTTGATGATAAGTTTCTGTTCTAACTAAAATATCGAATTATTTCATAATAATGGAACCACCTAAAGACAAATGGAATATTGTGCTACTCATATTTATTATACATGGCATTGGAACATTGATGCCATGGAATATGTTTATAACGGCAAAGAGTTATTTCGTTGATTTGAAATTAAGCGGAAATTCAAATTCAACAAGTGCTTCAAATTATGCAGCGAATTTCTTACAATATCATGGATTTGCGTCTCAAATTCCCAATGTGGTATTTAATTGGCTCAATGTGTTTTTAAATTTGGGTGGAAATTTAACGACACGAATGGCGATTAGTATATTAGTGGAGCTGTGTATATTTGTGGTTACAGTTATTATGGCCATGATTGACTCTTCGAATTGGCCCGGAGCCTTTTTTTGGATAACAATGATCACAGTAGTCGTCTTAAATATGGCTAGCGCTGTTTACCAAAATACTATATTTGGGATGGTCGCTACATTTCCCTTTAGATATACTGGCGCGGTTATATTGGGATGCAACATTTGCGGCCTCTTTGTATCTTTAATAAGTATTGGGAGTAATTATATATTTTCTACAATTAGAATTGCTGCCATTTATTACTTCATAACGGCGATGTTGCTTTTGTTATTTTGTTTTGATACATTCTTCGCAATACCGCTAAACAAATTTTTCATATATAATCAACTTTCTCGAAAAACTGAAGGCAGTGAAAATGTGAAAACTTCGGAAATACCTTATTGGACTATCTTTAAGACAGCATCTATGCAGCTGTTTAATGTATTCATAATATTCTTTGTAACCCTAGCGGTTTTTCCTGCCGTAAACTCTGACATCAAGGCATCTTCATCAGATTTTTTCATAAAGGATCCTATTATGTATATACAAATTACCTGCTTTTTAACATTCAATTTATTTGCGATGCTTGGAAGTTTGACTTCATATTGGATTCAATGGCCTGGGCCGAAATATTTGGTCATACCAGTTACCTTGCGATTGGTTTTTATACCGTTATTCCTGTTTTGCAATTATTTACCACTAAACGTCGAGAGAAAACTGCCAGTTATTATAAACAATGATTGGATTTACTGGATTATTGGTGTTTTAATGGCATACACTTCCGGATATTACAGTGCTCTGGCGATGATGTATGCACCACAGACAGTTGAACAAAACAACCAGGTCAAAGCTGGAATGTTCGCCGGTGCGATGCTCATAAGTGGGATTTTTTGTGGAATTTTGTTTTCATTCATAACTCCCTACTTAGTCTAATATGAAATAAATTGAGATCTACATCATGTATTAACTTTTTACGGAAATTAAAAATTTACAGTTACGAACCTAGATTTCCGGCCTATACTAATATATGTACTTATATATATACTAATTGTCCATAGCAAAGATAAAATCTAAAAAATAAAGTATGTGGTTTTATTTTAAATCTGTTAAATTTATTTTAATTAAATGCAAAATTACGAGATACCATAGTTATTAAAAAAATTCGTATTGCAACCCTGTTTCACGTGAGTAGTCATTATAGATTAAAAAGCAAAGTGTGGCATAGCGCCTACTCGCTCTGCTGGCGAGAGAATAAAAATGTACGAAATACCTCTCACGTGCTTCACCACTTGCACGCTCTTTATTACACTTAGCATGTGAATGTGTACGCAATACCCCTCTTATCCTCACTATTTCTATCAAGAATATAAACTACTTTCCATGTAATAAGCTCAAATTCAAGCAAGTATTTGAATGATTACTTTTTTATAGTTTTCCTTTGTTAGTTTGGCTTTCGGTGCTTACGTTTTATAGGTATATTGTTCAAAAGCTGAATATACTATGGTCACGCGCAGTTTGAAGGGAAAATTTTTAGTGTTACACACACACTACTGTATCTCGTTAAATGCGCGTGTGACATTTTCTCCTTTTCAGCGCACCCTTGCCCCAACCTTCTGAATGATTTGGTCATATGACCGCTAGTTTAATCATGCATATGCAACAACTATAATCTTATACCCGTGCTATAACATTTGTGTGAGTAGTTTGGCTATATATTAACTGTTCCCAGCGAAAGTGACAACTGGTATATAATTGAAAAACCAGCAAGCACTACGAGTTGAACAACTCAACAGCGGAGTTTAGCGTTCAGTGAAGAAATTGAAATCACTCACAGTGTTGTCAGCGACCGAACCGACCAGTGCTTGTTCGAACTCCTACGCTCTAGCAGCAAGTTACCAGTCAAGACCCAAGAAAGGCCTAAAGCTAACCACAAGTTAGTCAAGTGAGTGTTGGAAATGTGCAATCTGTGTTACAAGTTGAAAAAATATATATGACATACGGTCTGCTTAGTGTGTTGAAGTTGTAGAAAAAAGTGAAGGGAGGGAAATTATAGCTGAATTGAATTTGTACTGTTTGCTGAAACGATTTTGAGAAATATCAAGTAGACAATAGTCGATTCACTTTAAACATCCCCAGGGGAAATTGGAAAGAATACGCAATAACAGAACGCTCTGAGGCAGAGGCAGAAAAATTGCCACGACATTTGCTGAAACACAAGGCAAAAGAAAGTGGGAAAAGGAGCTTCTCTGATTTGACAAGTGAGCACCAAAAGTAGTGACTTTGCGAATGTGATATAAATAAATAGGTACGGAAATCTCTTCGATTTTTCGTTCACAAATCGAGCATTGCAGATTTTATTGCTTTAACAAATTAAAACGATATCCGTTAAAGCATAAATATATTACATTGTAAGGGACATACTTCCAATATTTGTCTTATTGCAAGTTTAAATCAAGAGGTAGGCGGTCAGTAGCAATAATTTAACCGAAGTATAGAAACGAATAAAAATTCGATAAAGTGCAATACATCGTCATACAAGACAAAAAAAAACAACGACGAGAAGGTACGAAAAATACAACGTTGTACACGAACGTAGCAACGATAGAAGGTGACGACAACGGTGCCGACGTTAGCGACGAGACAAATTCAAAAACGAGACGTAACGAAGCGAAACAATTGAAGAGAGAACAGCAAAAACAGTAGTCGAGTCGACAAGCAGTCAAGCGGCAGTCAAAGTGAAGAATTCAGAAATTTGAAAGTGCTATCAAGTAAAAACGCAAATTAAATTTTACATCTTCTCTATATTAATTATAAAAGCAAGAATTCATTATAAAACAAGACAAAATAATATCAAAAAATAACTAAATAAAAAACAGGAACGTACAAATTCGCAAAAATAGTACATCAGAAACTCCCTTCAGCACACCTACAACAGACCCGAATTTAATAATATAAGGAATATAATAAACGAGTGCACATCTTGAACAGCAAGCCCTATCGTAAAAATCAAATAAATTTTCTTTTTCGTAGAAAAACTTACAAAACACCCCGCACATACACAACAAAACAGAATCATGTCTGATGCACAGAGCGATAACCCAATCTACGGACCCTTCTTTGGAGTCATGGGAGCAGCCTCAGCCATCATTTTCAGTGGTAAGTAAACCATTTAGAAACAAAAATTTTTGCATAAAAAATACGTTGACAAAGTGGAACTTGTTTGGGAAGATATGTTAATTATACAGGTAGAAGGCGGTCAGGCGTTTGTTACGTTCATTTATGGGAAGTTTTATTGAAAGCAGGTCATCCTGAGACCAGTATTACACAAAATATACAACTAAATAATTTTTTTCATTTTGTATGAGCATGTGTAAAAAATCGAACATTTTGGCAGACGGATTGCGAAAAAGGGATGAAAAGGAATTGTTGGGAATTTTCTTGGCACATGTGTACGTATATTCAGTACTTTTTCGGGAGGGGACAGGTGGAAGGTCGCATTTTTATATATGTACATATATTCGCATATATACTTTCATACTGTATCGGCAACATGATTCTCTTGCATAGTTTGTAGCAAATTTGTAATGGAATAGCTGCATAGTATTCAAATTTGGCACTATGAAAAGTAACATAAATGTTCACCGGACTGTAAAGTGACATATGGAATATATTAGTATTTTTGATGTATATTTTTTTTAATCCAATATATAATTATAAGTTATTTGCTGCGGATTGACTTGCAATGATGTTCAACTTAACCAAAAAACACTTTACACCCTCTTTTAATGCGTGAATTGAATATAGAATAGTAGCCTACAATACTTTTTATCATCACGCGCTCTCATGTTAGTTGAAAAGAGCAGCAATGCTGGTCAGCTATTTGAATAGAAATAATGCAAAGAGAATAAGGAGGAGAAAAGAGCACTTATTTTTGGAAAAAAATGAGTCAACTACCACAAGCGCCAAATGGAGCTCAGCTAACCAATAATTTTAGCATATGACAGAGAACCAGTTTGTATTGGGCTTGTGGGGGTTTTCAGCGATGGGGTGGTTGGTGCAATTTTTAAGGTTAAGCTTGAGTTGCATATAGCAGCGATGCTTCCAAAAACAAATGTGAACAATATTCAATTCTGACAAGTCATGAGACTTGCTCATGTTTCTTTACCTTGCGCAGTATTGCCATTCCTCAAAATTCCTTGAATTTAAGGTTTAGGTTGTGCAATTTTCACACATATACAATATTTTTAATTTCATATATCTGGTTTTAATGTTGTATTGCATATTTAACTGCCACTTGCAGCAATCACATGCTTTCGCTTGATATCACATGGTTAACTGATAATGCTTTTGATAAGAAGATAAACACAAGTTACAGAACTGAAAAAAATATCTTAAGGTACATAAGTGTAAATGCTTTCATATTTTTTGAAAGCATCCAACGGTTTATTTTGATATAATTTTCTTTAATGTCACATGATTAGCCAATAAATACTTAAGTCAATTTTTTATTGCAATCGCTATGTTTCGTGTCCTCATTACGTAATATTATCAACGTATAGTCATTACTGTAATTTATAAGAGTTAATTTTCAACTTAAAAAATGTTTTAAATTGTTTTAAAGAATTTTATGACCATGTTGGACTTGTTTCGCATATTTCTCCATCTTTTTATACTGAAAAACGGAGTTAGTTTACTTTTAAGCCATTGTTGAATATGTTCATTTAACGACAACTTCAAGTTATCACAAAAAATTGGATTTATGATATCATTGACGTGTTAAGTCTATAACGACTTGATACTGTCGAGTTGGTTATATAGTCACATGATTAACTGTTACTGTATTTTTCTAATTGTGCATATGCTCGTTAATTTGATTTTTCGATTCTCCTTTTCTCTCTGTTCGCTTACTTTTATATCTTTGTGCTTCGTCGTTGATATTCCGTTCTCTCTGACTAGTTGATATGACAAACTAATCACATTGAGTCATTCACATTCTCTGAACAAAAACAATTATATGTATATGTAAACATATTCCGAGTCACGCTTTGGTCGTTATTACGTAGTAGTGTAATGATTTTATTTGAAATTAATATAATTTTTTAAACTTTTTCTAAAAAAAACAAATATTTATTATATAATAAACAAAAAGCCAGTGAAATGTGTATCTAACATCAAGGCACAGTGACACTTAATAGAATGCAACGCATGATTTTTTATAGAAAGAAAACTTCTCTTTGAAATATTTTCAGAACTTCTACTTAGCATAGATTATAATAGTGTTAAGTAATTTCACAATTCTCGTTCAATTATTGTAAATATTTTCCATTTGCTGCCTTCCCATGAATTCGTGTTAATCCGGTTTACAAAAATATATTCGCCACGCATTGTCAATATATTATTGAGTAGCAATTTTGCTGCTCATAACTTTGAAAGGTTTCATTTCATTGAACTTTCCGCTTATGTGCATAATTGTATACATATGCTCTACATTTCTCTTCATATACTTAGTCGCTTGTTGTGCATTTAAGTATGTACATACACACATATATGCGGCCACGATTTATATAGAGCTTCTTATCTCCGGATGCGCAAACGCCCTTTTTCAGCCACTAAATAAAGATGAAAATTGAAGTTCAGTTGTAGTTTTTCTAACCCTACTCCATTTTTACGTGGTAGTCACGTGACACTTGAGCTGTTATTAATAATATTCTTTATTTTGACTTTTCAAGCGCAACGCTATTCGTGGGCGTACGCTATATTTTACACGAGTGTGTCTAGACGCTTACGCTTTGTTCATATAATTTCTTTTTTTTTATATTTTAAACTAATTTGCAAGCAATTTGTGTGATAATCTTCTTATTTTAGTAGCATTTTCTTTGTGCAAATTTATATACATACTTATGTGTGAAGCAAAAAATATCTTTTCCCCCGGGTTTTCGCACAAGGGAGAGACAAATTACACTTTCTTGCTATTAAAGCTTTACAAATGAGCATAACAATGACCTCCGTTGCTCTGTGTTTTCTGCTACGTTCTCTCTTTCTCAGATCGAAAATATTTTATTTTGCAATAAATCCGTACTTGCATCCGTATTCAGCTACAGAAAGCGTCATCAATTGACATCCATTTAGTCAATGAAAAAGAGCGTCCATATTTCTATTTAAAAGCAGCATTTATGCTTACGCATGTTTCATTGGCATTTATATTAATTTATTGCTGAGCATACATGTTCTCATGGATTCACACATACATATGTACATATGAATGTACTCGCATGTTTATTGTATAATTGATATTTTTTAAATTTATTTTGTATATAAGTTTTCATGTACTTTTTATTTATTATTTCGCTTTCAATGCTAGCGAGATTTCATACATTTTAAACCTATAAACAGATCGAATTGGATTGCCTCTTTATTTGTATTTAATTTGAATAATATAATTGCTTACAAAGTGCAATAAACTGTTAAGAGTCGTAACAGTAACAGTGCTCTTACTTTCGCAGTTAACTCAAAAAATTTAGTACATCGCACATCTTGCCATGCTTCCAATCAATTTATGCAATTATTATTTAAGTTATTCCTATGGGAACTAAGCTCCCGCTTGCTAGCAATTTTTCACATTCTTAGTTTTTGTTCTCTTACATGATTTGTCTTTTGTACGTTGCTACTTGAATTCTCATTGTTTGGTTTGTTTTATTGTGTCTGCCACATTTGGCTCACATTGGATTTAACTATACATTCACTAGCACATCTGTACGTTTTTATACTCAACTGTGACGTAAAATGTTTTTAAATATGAATTCTATAAAACAGAATACATATATACATATATATTTATGTAGATAGCAAGCATGAAGACAAATGTGCTTCATTTTGTTTTATTGGCATGAATTTTCTGTCTGCGCGGTGTATGCCAACCCGTTTTCGTTTCATTCCCGCATATTGTCGCATTACTGAATGGCTTTATTATGATAGTTTGATTAACAATATATTTAAATTTTGCTTTGATTTCGTGCAAAACGCAATACTTATTACAAAGAATTCTGCAGTTCACTTATAAATGTGTGAAATCGCTTGATATGTCTATCAAAGCCCGCAAGAACTTCTCAAAAAATGTTAAATACTTGTAGTATGAGGCTTACTGTGTGCTGTATGCATGTACAAATAAGAATTGTAATGCAAAAGAGTGATTAAACAGCAATTAGTTAAGTCGTTTCGTTATGTAAAAAAGCGGTTTCAAAAGACGTTCAATGCCAAGTCTCAATGTAAATCAAATTTTACTTTCAAATTTGTTAATACACAACAAGTAGGAATGCTTGTATGTGCGCGTGTATCTATAGTTAGTGTATCTTGGTTGCTAGCAAAAGCGAATACACGTACGGCTGTTATATAGATGTAGAGAGATGTCTGAAGGAATAAATTATTTAATTTCAGTGTAGCTTTTTATTGACTTATGGCGGATCGGTGCTTATACATTCCTATGCATATTCTTCATATTGCTATTGTACTTATTGTTCCTTAAGTGGAGTACCAAGTCATTTAATTGTCGTTATGATAAACATTTCAATAAATCATAATTACGACACATCAATTTTTTTATTATAACTTATCAAATTTCACTATTAAATATTTCGTAATTACCTTTTCTCATTATAATTACATATACATATATCTATTATATTTTCACAAGCATTTTTTAATCAGTAAAAAGATATTGTCAATTCAAGTGTAGATTTCATAAAAATATTCTGTACTTGCATGGAATTTAAATATTAAAAATATTTTTCAACATTCATGGCATGACAGCTGATCAGCAGGCGATCAGCTCTCTCGTTCTCTGCTATTATCATTTATACCCGCTCAATCGCTATCGACTATTATGCGAAATGTTTGAAGGCTAGCAAAAGTTACGCACTTCAGTAATTTATTATATTAATATGCCTTGTGCTGTTAATTAGCGTGAAATCACATGACCGTCATTATATCTGATATCAGTGTGGCTAATGTTGCTTCATTTCCAACTCCACCTTACGCTGTAAGCGCATATGTATTGACACGCTATTCACATAAAAAGTACGCAAACTGATGATCGCTCAGCCAATCACCAGTACGTTAGAAGAATTTAAATATGTACATACGAGTATATACACATATACATAAGTATGTGTGTGGAGTGTAAGCGAAAAATTAAACAATATTTTTGACAATTTTCAAATGAATTTTTCTCCATGAGGCGAAATTTATATATAAATTTGAACCATATTACATGTTTTTGTATAAGTATATATATAATTATTAATGTATATATACATGTTTTTGCAAAAAAAAAAAAATAATAATAAAAATAAAACATATGCATATATTATATAGATATATTCCACGCTTATTGCAGTTTGAATTTCAACTTTATGTTTCATGCTTTGAGCATTTGCTCTGACGTTCGCTCTACGTCTGGTTTGCAAGCTTAATTGATTTTTATTTTTTTTTCGCTATTGGCTATAACCGGTTATTTCTCATTTTATATAGCGAAGTTCGATATATGCGATCGCGTATTTTTAATTACAATTGCTGTATTCATTGACATATTTACTTAGCAATATCGTTGGGGAGGCGGTAAATACGATGATTCACCCATTGCAATATGAGAAAAATCACCGAAAAATGAACTTTTATATTCATTGTTAAATTTACAAAAAATATGTAATATATTTTTATTAGCATAACACTAATACTTTATTTCGCTGTTAGCTTGCTTTTACAATATTCTAGAAATTCAATCTTATCTAAAACTGGCACTTCTTATCGCTTGCAAGGCGTATCTTTACAACTACTTGTTATTTGATTATTCTCATTTATTATAAATTCAAGTATTCTTGTTTCTCGAAAGTAGCGTTGAAGAATGTGAAATATACGATATTTTTGCCTTCGTACTTCGCCTGTTTTACTGCACTTTTCTCATGTCGCTTCAGATGTACTCTCTTTTCTGATCAACCACATACATATCGGTTATATCTTTCGTTCAGCACAAGTCTATACACTTTTGTGTGAAATATGGTTGGATTTCTCATACTACGCAGGTTTTTATTTACTCTGCCTTTTATCACATTGCTTGCTGTCTCTTTTAATGACTGCTAAATTTTTTCGTTATAATTGCATGACTGTCATGTGACCAATATTCCAGGTGTATATTATATAAAACAATTACGAACTTGACGATTTGTTGAAATAATACAAAAACATACATACATGTATAAAGGCTGGTATATTTGGTTATTCTATCGTTAACCAGATCCTTATCCAAAAATCGAAACATGCTAATAAAGGTACTTATTCGTGAAATTATTTTTGGAATTATATGGAAGGTTGTACAGTTTTGATTTCAAATGATAGCCAGTATTTTGGCTAAATTTCTATATAACTACAAAATAAAAGAAAGGATTTGTCTTCGTATAGTTAAGGGAAGGGATTGAAGATCTAAAACAGTGTCAGCTTAGACATGTTTCCAAATAGGGATCACAGCGCTTAGCAGCTAGCAGTATATTGGAGTTCATCAATGTGCTGGGGCTAAGTGAGTTGTTGTGACTTAGGGAGGGCACAATACACCCTAGGTCGCGGTGCGTACCTCTAATCTATTATATTCTAGTATAGGCATTTAATGGTATTTTCCCACACAATCTGCTGTCGCAATTATAGAAAACGTATTATAGATATTTGTGTATAACTTCCTGTATATTTATATGATTAGCTCAGAAAATATTAGCATTATTTTTTATTACTATTGTTCTTTTTTTGAATTTCCAGCTCTGGGAGCCGCCTATGGTACCGCTAAATCAGGAACTGGTATCGCTGCCATGTCAGTAATGCGACCAGAATTGATCATGAAATCTATCATTCCCGTTGTCATGGCTGGTATTATTGCCATTTACGGTTTGGTCGTAGCTGTCCTTATTGCTGGTGCTTTGGATGAGCCCCTAAGTTACTCACTGTACAAGTAAGTGTGTAACACTAGAGATTTTAGCGAAGTTTCAAAATCTAACATTGCTAATTTGTTTAATTGTTTCCTATCACTTAAAAATTTGCAGGGGTTTCATTCATTTGGGTGCCGGTTTGTCGGTAGGTTTCTCTGGTTTAGCGGCAGGTTTTGCGATCGGTATTGTTGGTGATGCTGGTGTAAGAGGTACAGCACAGCAGCCGCGTCTCTTCGTCGGTATGATTTTGATTCTCATTTTCGCTGAAGTATTGGGTCTGTACGGTCTTATTGTTGCCATTTACTTGTACACAAAATAAATTAATACAACAATTACAACCACAAATCCAACATCCACATCAACTAAAAACAAAAATATGCAACAAAAAAAAAATCAACCAACCAAACAATCATTAAAATGCAACAAGCAACATCCATTAAAGAAATTTGTAATAATATAAACGCAGCAACAACCAAACAAAGCCAAGACGAGAAGAATCCGCGACAAGTATTACAGTAAAAGTAGCTGGCAAACAATGGTGAAAACAGCAGCAGCAGCAGCAGCAGATCTCAAGCAGTGCCGCAATTGGTTGTAAAAAGGCCAAAATGAAAATAAAGTTCCACGTATGGCTGATTTTTAGTATTGAAATATTCATAACGTCGAAGAAAGGAAGAGACAAACGAATTGTTGCGAGACAGTATTGCTTTACAAAATGTCACAACATTCTGTAGTTGCCACGAGCCGCAGACAATTTCGTCATATGTATGTCTATATATATATATGTATAACCCAGCTTTATTCTATTTATGTTACGTTACTTTATGATTTTAATTTATTTTTGGGGAACTAAGACCATTATCAACAACCAAAACAAAAAATTACAACAATTTATATTTGTATATACATAAAGTAACCAAGTGTTAAACTAAAAAGAAAGTCTGGGTTTCTTTTTTCGCCGTGAATGCAATGGGAATAAAGTTACTACGGAAATGTTATTTATATTTCAACACTTACAACCGCGGTTGCACCAAAGAGCTAACGATCGCAACAAACGTCGCTGCCAATGTTTTTTTTTTTTTTGTTTTTTATGTTTAGTTACCGTATTTCGTTAAAACATATTTTTGCTGTGAGTTGAAAAATTGCTTCCTCTTGTCACGTGTTTATGCGTTTATATTACTAGCGATTTTCTTATTCGTTAATGTTTTTTCTGATATTTCCTTTTTGTTTCTGTGTAATTATAATTATAAATATTTTTCAACAACGTTTATTGTTGTTGTTTAAAGAAAAACTTGCGTATTCAAAGTAGAAAATGAAAATATAAATACTACAACCAAAAGCAGTAAAAGTTAAAAAGCAAACGGGAATGGAAACAACCAACCAACCAACAAACTTATTAAATAAAATGTACATGTAAATTTAAATTTAAAATTAATATTAAATTTAATTAAATTTAAATAAAGAAAACAAAGAAACAGTATATAGTTAAAAAATATTAAATAATTAGTGAGAAACCACCAACAAAGCAACAACAAAGACAACCATCAAATGAACAAAAACCACCACCAAAAACAACAAAATGAGAACAGCATGCAAAGAACTGAATGTGAATCACTTTCGAAAACCGCCTTCGGTAAAAGTGAGACGTCGCGGCTAATGTGGATTGAACCGCAATTTTTCATTGCACTTCTGCTAAACGTAGCTGTTTAGTTCAACTTTCGAAGATACATGTATATTCTTCACTACTCCCCTCTGGGCGCTTGCGTGCTACGCATATGAACAATACACACACACACACACACATCGAGGAACTGATTGTTAACGGCAATCATTTGCGCCCAATAAAATTCAACACCACCGCTTCAAGCCTACTTTTAGGCGTTATAATTTTTCAAACGATTTATTTTCTACGCCACACGTCCGCATTCACGGTTCGCATTGTTTTTGTTGCATTGCTTGAAGGAAAAGACCAAATTGTTGAAAACAAAAATGACAGCTCTTTAAAATGAACGCAAACATAATGCGAAATGAGTTGGTTAAAACAACAAATAGTTCACTGAAAGGGAAACACACACATCCACGCAAAATGAAGGAATGGTTGAAACAACATCGATTAATACAAAACATCCGATCACATACCAACTCACACAACACACACACTGTAACTAAGTCCCTATATATATGTGTTTATTTTTAATTATTGTTCAATTTGTAAGAACTATTATTAATAATAATTATAATATATTTCTTTTTTTTTTGTGATAAGCTTAAAAGAAAGTTGCTTATGAAACATTTGAAATTTCGCAGCGAATACATAAAAACTACTAAATGGTATTTATATATGTATAACTATATCTATAAATACTTAATATACATACATACATACATAACACATAATATAGATATATATATATAATTATTAAAAATAATTAATTTACATACTATACATATTTAAACCAAATGGAAGTGCGAAAGCGCTGAAATTGTTACAAAAGCTAAAAAATTTACAAAACAAAAAACGAAAAACAAAATGATACAGGTGTATGTGGCGTAGCATTTAAGCAAAACAAAAAGAAAAAACAAAAAAAACCGTTAGAAGTTGATGCAATACGAAACAAAGGCAGAGTTGAAGTATGTGTGCAGTTTGAAAGCTAAACGACAAGTAAACTATGACCTAGTGGCTCACATACATACACTACTGCAAATCACTTCCCGTCAGGCACTCACATATTGGATATTTCTCTACTTTGCCAAAAGTAAAAAAATATTCGCTGTGCAATGCAACCACACTAAACATCCACATTATTTCCTCTGTTATGTATAGAAATGCAAATAATTATATATATATATATACGAAATTATAAAAAGTAAAAAAATATTATGTAAAATCTTATAACATATAAAAATAACAAATATGTGCGTATTTAGTAAAATTTCGCTGAAGAAGATAAAATGTTAAATAAGCGGTAGTCGAAATCGAAAAGTAGACGCTAGAGCGTTGAAAGTCGAAGATGTAGTAGAAGAAATGAATTGAGGAAGTAACAAAAATGTAAAACAAAAATGTGAAAAATCAACAAAAAAAAGAGCAAAATCCCCAACGTAAAAATTAGAAATTTCGTTTACAGTACCAAACAATTTGATTTGTAAGTAATAAAAAAAGCGAGCGAGAGCAACGACGCTAAATAAAGTTCGCAGCGCATATCAGCAGTGCTGCATTTTGTGCATACGTTGGTTGCGCCAGTGTCGCGTATACGCATGCGCACACAACGTTCTACGTGCACCAAACACAATACTGCCAGTGACACGCTCCCCTTGCTAGCCGATGCGTTTGTGATGCTGAGAGCGCGGAGGTGTGCAACCTGCGAGCGGCCACTACTGTTTGTTTTACCGGTGGCATGTATACGTAAAGCGTTAGCGTATGCCGCTTTCCACTTAGCGCTGCCGTATGACAATGCTGCGCTGCTGAGATGCGACTGCGCATTCTTTGGCGTCGTTGTTCGCTACTGTGTGCAGGCGGCTACTGCGCTGTGGAACTTCTTCAAACAACAACAACAATAATTGACGTACTAATATTTGCTTTTGCATTGAACAACAACAAAACATCTGTTGCACAAATTATACACATGCATACATACATTACTCGTATTGAACTATTGTAATTACTTTTCGTTGTCAATTAGTTTAAGTGTTTTATATTAGCGCGTTGTTTATATTTTTTTTTATCATTATTTTTCGTTTGTTGTGTTGCTTTGTTGGAGATCTGCGAATCATACGAACATTGTTGAATTGATAAGGCAGTCGCAGCAGAGTAATAAAGCAAAATAGTAGCGGATGCAGTAGCTAGCGTTAGCAGCAGAGCGGCAGTATATTTTATTATTATTTTAGAACAAAAAATGAACATTTTGTATTGTACTTGTATTACGAACGATAAGCAAACAAATTACCATCAAAAGTCAACCAACAAACAAACAATTACTTGAGAGAATGAATAAAGTGTAATTTCTAATTTCCAACAAAAAATTCAATTGTGTTTTAATTACTTTTAGTTTTAGCGGTAGTTTTGTCAGTAATAACTGGTTTATGCTACACATTTATGCCGTACTTGAAAGATGTGTATTTTTCATCGTCGCAACTTCCGGGTTGTGCAACATTAATGCGGTCACAGTTTTATTTTTTAAATATATAATGTAAGGACATTTTTTTGTTTTGAAATTTAGAAGCTCTTACCCTTTACTTTCATTATTTTTAACGGCTTTAAATTTTTGAAATCAATCTTAAACGAAAATTGTGAATGATTACTAATTTCGAATTCAAAGAAGGTCAAAAGTCCTTTAGCAAACGGAATTTTTATTCGAAACTCAGACGAAAATTTTGATTAATAACTAATTTCGAAAGTTCGAAAAACATCGTATCTACCTTGGCTACAATTTTTTCTTTCGAAACTTGCGAAAGTTCGAAGCATGTCATATCTCCTTTAGAAAATGGAAGTTTTCTTCGAAACTCAGACGAAAATTTTTGATTAATAACTAATTTCGAAAGTTAGAAAAACATCGTATCTACTTTAGTTAAAATTTTTTTTTCGAAACTCGTCAAAAAGCTGATTAAGCGGTTTCTAAATTAAATTATTATTAAGTTTGTATATATGTATTTTCTTGAATTTACTAAATATGACATTATTCCAGACCTACTTAAGGTAAACATATTCATAATTCTATACATTATGCTTCACTATTAATCAATTCGCACGAAGTTCTCATCATCCAGAACTTTATATCGTTTTAGACGATACGTATCCAATTCGAAAATATATCTTCTAGAGCATGCTTTCATCATTTTGCTAATCACAGGTTTGAGTTTCGCTATGCCCGCTGTAACCGCCAAGTCTTCGTAGTAATCGAACTAAAATGAGATTTGTGATTATTCAAAAGTTGCAAAAGCATTATTGGCTCTGTATATTAGCTTGCCTGTTTTACGCCCATTTTGTGCGCCATACGTTTCGATACACCATTCGCCCACCGCTCCTGCATATCCGCCTCCATTTCCGCTAGCATATCGGCACGACTAGGTAATGCCTTGTGTTCCGAAAAGAAGGCCAACACGAAGCGTGCTTGTAAATCAAAAAGTTGTGCTGGACATATTTGATGTGGCAAGCCAATGATGGCCATTGTTGGTCTATTGATATTCAAACAGTGCTTATAGAGTGGATATATCCAATTGACATCCAAATTAAGACCGCAGTCAACGCTCAGAAAAGGGAAAGTGTACTTATAGCCAGTGCAGAAAATCACGAATGAAAAGGCAGCGCTGCTTTCATCTTTAAAAATGGCGCCATCTTCAGTGAAACGCAAAATGTCTGGCTTTTGCGTAACGTTCGGCATGAAATCCATACGTGGTTCGCTCTCCAAATGGTGACTGAAATAAACGTGCTCAGCATGTTGGTAGATGTGATGTACAATATCGATGCCACTCGGACCGCCACCCACAACCAATACGTTGTGACCTGTTGATAATATGAACAAGTGTGATGTCTCTTATTTTATTAGTGTATTTTCAAATCGATTCGAAATCCTTTGGTCATACCTTTGAAAATATCGGGTGTCCGATAGAGATGACTGTGCAAGCGCTTGCCTTGATAGGTATCAAGGCCCTCGGTATTCGGATACATGGGTGTGGTGAAGTGTCCATTACAAACAAGAACAAAATCGAAAAATTCAACAAAATACTTATCGCCTTTGAGATCGTGAACGATAACCTGTATTTATCAAAGTGTTTAAAATAAAATAGCGCAAAATTCGATTGCATAACTTATTTATACTAGATTTTTTGGAATATTCCGCATAAATATAAATATATTAACAGAAGTTCTGTATATAAAAACTAATTGATCATGCTCACCTCCCAACCTACGCTACGTGGTCGCACTCTTATTATCTCATGTTCCAATTTGATATACGGCGTTAATTCAAAGTGCTCTGCATAATTCTGTAAATACTCCAACACGAGTTCCGAGCTGATAAAAGACTCTTCTATATTCGTATCGAAATCATAGTCTGGAAAGCCCATCACTTCCTTAGGCAGATTTGTGCTGAAAATGTAACAAATATTATAAAATTTACCAAAAAATATTTTCATTATTGCTTTCGCTCACTGTAAACCCTGATACATGCTACTATGCACGTCTTCTTCACTTTCACCTTCCTTACGTTCCATATAAATCCATGTACCGCCAACCGCTGTATGTCGTTCGTACGCCACTGCCTCCAAATCGTGTTCCAGCGAATTCTTTAGTGCCGTTAGTCCTGCCATACCGGCTCCTATTATGCAAACACGCTTTTTGGAACTCATCTTCTTGTATTTCGAAATGAATTGTTGGAATTTATCGTGCGAATCTTCCAACATTCAGTACTCTACTCGGTCTCTTGACGATTGAGCGCACCACCTTTGTTGTCTATATACTCGTACATATGTGGTTGTCTTTGACTGAAATTAAACGTTGATCACTCTCTTGCTTTCGTATTTGTTAGCGTTGTTTTGCTAGTTTTGTCGTAAAACTCACAATTTCTGCAGCTTATCGGTAATGCATACATATATATGTATATGCAAGTGATCATAGATACCGAAGTGCCTCGGTGGCGTAAGAGAAATACTGCTTTTAACGCTCTTAAATATATTTTCTACCTATCTCTTTATTGTATTAGTTGTGTTACCAAGACTTTAAAATATTATGCTATAAATATGTGGCTTCAATTTAAAATTGTTGAACTTGAAAACCGGAACTAAAATTAGGCACCTTTAAAACTAGTTTTGCTTATAAATAATTAAGAGTTCTCTTAAGAATATTAATTTCTACTCTTTAATAACGACGTAGCTAGTTGACTTTGAAATTTGGTTATAAAATGTGAATAGATTAATAATTTTTAGTTTGACTGACTTTGTTTGCTTTCTCTTTACTGCTGTTTAAATAACAGTAATGATAAGATTTTAGCATATTAACGGCAGATTTATCTTAGTTTTTATGGCCGCTGTTATCATAATCTTAGTTAAAATAAATAAAGTTTGTGTAGTGCAACTAAAATTAAAAATATGTAGATAATCCTTCATTCGTCTTATACAGAGATTAGTAGTTCTTTGCGGAATTAAAATTGTGAGATTGGTTTCGAATAAGCATTATTAAGAGAGTTAAATAAGAGTAAAAAAAAGATTCTCAAAGCAGTTTAAGAATATGCTGTTGCTGCTTATATAAGTAGATCCTAATCGTTTTAAGAATGTAGGTTCGTTCGTGCCTTTTCTTTTAAATCAGTCGTTGCTTCCTATTTTATCCCATTTGTATGTTGCATGTCCTTTAATTTTCATTGTTATCCAATTTTTGTTAGTGATCTTCAACAGCGACAACAAATCTCTCTGTTCACATATTTGTTTGGTAGGATTTCACCTGGCCGTTTCTCTGTTTCCAATTGCTTAACGTCAGACCTCATGAACTTTGACAGTTGCCTGAGTTCAGCAGGTTTTGACGTTTAGCAATTGCTCTTTTTTCATTCATTCATTTTCAGTAAAATATGAGTTGGACATCTTTTTATCTCTGATGTTGTGGGAGCTCAAAATGGTTTTGGAAAAGTGAAATATTAAAAATTGTTGGAACCTCCGTGCTTTCGTTTTTTTTTTGGTATGATGCTAAATGCTTTGCCGCGCTTCTCTCGATAACTTAGCTATACGCTTTTATTTTGTCACACAAAACGAACATCCTTCGCAGCTTAACCACACTCCTAGGAGCCTATTAGAGTTGAAGATAAAAAGTTTTGGTCTACCTTCTTCGAAAAAGATGTGAGCTCTAATATTTATGTTACACATTCTTTTAAAAAATTTCAGTTTTGTGAGTTTTGTTGTTTCTTTATTTCAAGTAAAGTATTCAGTGATTGTTTTTATACTTCGCCTAATTTAAATTGTACAAAATGCTCATTGTCTATCACCTTAAATGCCGTTTTGCGGTAGTTTTGTAAATCGTAAAGAAATTTACCACCACAGATTTTCGATAGCTTTCTGATCACTGGTCTAATATTCTCGATTCCGGTCAATGCCACCAGCTCATCATAATAATCGAACTAAAACCAAAACAAAAACTAAATATATATAATTTATTTAATTGTTATTTCATTGCCGCTCACCTGTCGTTCGCCCACTAAATGCGCCTTCCTACGCGGCAAGCCACGCTCCCTGCGCTCTGCTAAATCACGCTCCGTATCGGCCAGCATATCCTTCGCACTTGGTAGTTGCAGTTTTCCGCTATAGTATTGCATGACAAAACGCATTTGCAGGTCGAACAATTGTATTGGATAGGCATAAATTGGCAGACCAATGAAACACATTGTGGGATGGTAGATATTGATGCAGTGCTTGTAGAGAGGATATACTAAATTGTCGTGCACTTGCAGGTTGCAATCGGCGCTGAGGAAGGGTATCGTCAGGTCGTAGCCGGTACAGAAGATGATATGCGTAAAGTTGGCTTGCGTGCCATCCTTGAATACGGCGCCGTTCTCCGTGTAGCGTTCCACAACCGGCTTCTGCACAACATTCGGCATAAAATCGGTGATTGGCGGCTTTTGTTGGAGATGATGACTTAGGTAAATACGTTCGGCAAAGGGGTAAATGTGGTGGGTGATATCCATACCGCTACGGCCTGCGCCTACCATAAGAACGGTGGCAGCTGTGGGGTGGTGTGTTTACAAAAATTTATTATTATTTAATTGGTGTTTTTATGATTTGAAATATCGGTAGCACTATATATTATATAAGTACAACTGCAATGATTTTTTAGCTGGTTTTGAGCAGCAAATAAATACATATTTGATGAGGATGCTTATGATTATTGCAGTCAGTGAGAGTTCTTGAAATTTGGTTCTTACAATTTTAGTCTCTTACTAATCCGATTTACCGTTAGACTATGCTTCGATTAAATTTTTCGTGTTCAATGCCGGTTAAGCTTTCGAGTTACGTTTGCTTTAATAGTCAGCAGAGACAAAGAGTTTCGAAAGCCTGCCTTTTGAGAAACCAAATAAAAGTATTGATGCTTGGTGTGACCTTGAGAACTCGAGTGAGTTCTATTTGAACAAATTTTCTAAAAAACTGGAAATATGTTTATAGTACATCTTAATATATTAATATTGAAAGAGCGAAAATACTATAAATATTTACAGTAACAAAATCAAATCTAATTAATTTTTTTTTGTTTTTTGTTGTTTTTTTACAGTGACAAAATCAACTAAAATTTTAAAAATTTTTTTAAATTAAAAAATTTTAAAAAAAAAATTTTTTTTTTGCTTTTTGCAATTTAATTGCGAATGACCTTATCATCGTTGTGATTTGATTACAACAGATGTTTTTATTTCAAAATATAGACATATGCTTGTTTCCATTTGCCATATTCGTACTTAATACTGGTTGCTGATAAGCCATAAATATTCTGAATTGAGCGCAAACCGTTTAATGAACATTAAAGTCCTCGCAAATTATATTAAAACAAAATCATGATACTACTAAAAGAAGTATGCAATGCGAACTCAAAGTGCAAAATAAAATATTTTTATATATACGCCTATGCTAAGTTATAGTATTATTATGAATAAAAAAATAATAATTACGGCATTAAGACTCACCTTTGAATGTGTCTGCTCTGCGAAAGACATGACTGTGTATTTTATGGCCATTAAAAAGACCAATGCCCGGCGTGTTCGGATAAGAGGGCGTCGCATAGCGGCCGTTGCATATGAAAATGTAATCAAATTGCTCCGTCGTGTAGATGTTGCTTTGTAAATCAAGCGTTAACACCTAGCAAGATCAGTAAGATACATTAATTTGCAAAAATCAATAAGCTATTTATAGACACTTTTTATATGCGAGCGCGACATCTTGCATACAGATGATTGTAAACGTAAATTAAATTATTTATTATTTTTTGCGCACCTCCCATTTGCACTGTAAGGGCCGCACGCGTATCACTTCCTGCCTCAACTTGATATGTGGTAGTAGTTGGAAGTGTTCGGCATAAGATTGAAAGTATTTCAATACGTCACTGGCCAGTATGTAAGATTCGCGCATATTCGTTGGAAATTGGAAGTCAGGAAAATTCATTACTTCCTTTGGCAAATTGGTTCTACATTAAATTACCGTAATTTAATACACACTCATGTATTAAAATGTTTTACAAAAACTTCTAAATTACCGCAATCCATCATACATGCTGCTGTGTACATCTTCCGCTGCGGCACAGCCGTCCGCCGCATGCTCCGTGCATACCCAGGTGCCGCCGATTTCGTTATATTTCTCATACGCCACCGCCTCCATGCCATATTCGCGCGCATACTTGAGCGCACAGAGTCCGGCAGCACCGGCGCCAACTACACAGCAACGTACTTTTGCGGCCATAAAGTTTTTTTCGTGTGTCCGTGTTCTTTTGCTATATTTTCATAAATATTGTTTTTTTTTTTGGTTAACTTCGCGAAACTTTTCGAAATTCCTACGCTGTCTTGATAAGCTCCACCTCGTTACTTACGAACGTTACAACTGAACGGCTGCGTGAGTTCGCTGGCTGCTTTATGTGTCGATGGCGCTGCTTGTGGATCAGTAAAGCGCATAAGGCTCTTGAATTTTAGCTGATATGAGTTAATTGGCTTTGATATGAAAATCTTTATTGTACGAGTTATTTGAGCAAACAGTGATTACACATGTAAATGCACATATATAATTAATATAAAAATAATTAATATGAAATGTTTGCATTTGTGTAAGTATGTACGGTTGTACTAGCTGCATTTAAGTATAGGGTGTATCATTTAGTTGTAGCTGTGAAAAAAATTACTAAAAAAATTTGCATTTCTTACAAATTCCAGCCAAAAATCGAATTGTAGTTTGAGAACAATGTCCGTTGTCTCGCGTATTTTTAACGAAATATATATTTTTTAGCTACTAGATAGAGATTTCAAGCATAACTGAAAATGTCATGCTATATATATTGTAATCTTCAACTTGCCGAGCAAAATATTTTCATTCTACAAACGAACTTTACAAACATGTGACATTACAAATAATTACATACATATATTTATATATATACATATATACACTTATCATTACATACTCGTATATGCGAGTACATAATGCTTTTTACATAAAAGTACTCATATATTATTATACATGTATGCACATACATGCATATATGGACATATGAAGGAATTCAATTAGAAAAATATTTAATATTTTAAAGAAACACTATAAAAGTAAGTTTTGAAATTTGCGGACAATTCCACGTTTAAGCTGTGGTCTAAATAAAAAGACACTTTCGATGATTTTATGAATTACATTCGTGATCTGAAGTCACCCTAACTTCATAGGTAATTGTTTCTTATGTGTCGACACCATCTCACATCTATTATTAAAATTCTAAAGATATACATGAAATATCAAATTTTATTTAGTTATGTATAGTACATATGTTTGCACAAAATTAAACCTTTCTAAGTTTTAAGTCTCTATCTATAAAAAGATGCTCGGTGTCTAAAAGTACAATACAAAAGACCAGTTTCTGCTGAGGAAGGGTGCTGTGTAGTAAAAACCAGTGCAACATATCGTAGCAGAAAAATTATGACGCTACTATCGCTAGAAACGGCACCTTTGCTGTGAAAAGTGGCATGAGAAAGGTGGAAAGGAGGGTTATCAGTTGCTGAGAGTATAAAGCAAATAAATCTATGCTGAATCACTAATTAACATTTTTTATGCTAGTAGAAGCGGAAAGTTTTTGAATTATTTATATATTCATACTTTCAAAGCACGGATTCGTTTTAATCATATGAAGCGCGCTTAATTATATGTGCTTACTCTGTATTATTATAGCAAGCTTTAGTGCCTATTTAATAGTCTTTTATTTAATTAAATTTATTTGATTATGTACAGAGGTATATGTTTTCTTTTCATTCAAAAAACAATGATTAAATATTTATGAAACGATAACTTTTTCCTTGCTGAAGTTTTATGTTGAATTTCTTTTGTTGTGTGTGTCTTAAATCATATTGTTGGCAACGCCGCAATTCTTTTTAATTGCTGCAGATTACATCTTCCTTGCGATTTGCTTCCTTTCAATCTCCCTAGACCCGTTGTCCACCAATAGCATTGCTTTAATCCTAGAAATTTCATAAATATACTCAATGAACAAGAGAAAGGCGGAGATCGGGAACAATTTCTTCCGAGCGTGTAGTTCTCAAGCGGGCGTCGGTGCTGTAAAACAGTTTTTTGTAGATTTTTTTCTCCAAAAAATAATGAGAATTCCCACTGGTTGTTTGTTTAATATTATTCGCCTTCCACTTAAATAATTAATATATGTATGCACTCTTGGGTATAATAATATGCATTTAACCGCAGATAAAGCAATAGAATTTATCGGATCTTTGCAAAACCATAGGCTTCAGAGAATCATAATTGTTCGAAGAATATTAAAAATACTTTTCCAGCACATGCTTTATGAGTAGCATCTTATAGATTGTGTATGAATGCGAGTAGTATCGTTACCGTTATAAAACTCAGAAAAGTTTATGCTATACCGAAAAAGGGAGATATTCAGTTCCGCACTAACATTTCAAATTTTTTTCTCTTGGTAATATTTTTAAAAAACACAAAACCGTTTTCAGAAATTAAGTAACCGTTTTTTTTTTCATTTTACAAACCATTTTATTGTCTATATGAATCTTGTGTATGGAAGATGATAATGAATTTTTTAAAAATATATAGTATAATAATAAAAAAAGATATAACATAGACTTAATGACGCTTAAATATATATATAATTATAAAGTAAGCACAATGAACCCTTAACCCCCAAAAAGCTCCCAAATAGCATGTACAAGTAGTACAAAGATTATTTAAATTTCAAGCGGTCTCCAAGTGAAATTTCACGAATGTTTCATCATCGAGCACCTTGAAGCGATCGTTACGGTATGTGGCGAGCTCATAAATATATTTCCGACTGCAATCCTCCATGATTTTATTAATCACCGGTTTGATATTTTCAATACCGGCCGTTTCGGAGAGATCTTGGTAGTAGTCGTACTGATGAATAAAAAAAAAATACGAATCCATATTAATTTTTTATTTCCTTGCAGCTGGAGTCATAGGCTACTAACGCAATTGCATTAGTTATGTGACTCACCTGCTTATCGCCCATCGCGTGCGCTAGACGGTTGGTCAGACCCTTTTTGCGTCGGTTCTCCTTATCCTTCTCCAAATCGGCGAACATTTCTTCGCGACTCGGAAACTCACGTTTCTTAGTGAAGAATGCCAACGCGAAACGCACTTGCAAATCGAACGATTGCGATGGACACACATAGAAGGGCAGGCCAATCAATGCCATCGTGGGATAATGTATATTGATGCAGTGCTTATAAAGTGGGTGTACGAAATTATCATCGACGCGCAACGAAACATCGATACTGAGGAATGGGAATGTGTATTTGTAGCCAGTGCAGAAGATAATGTGATCGAAGGTTTCAGTGCTGTCATCTTTGAAGACGGCGCCATCTTCGGTGAAGCGTTTTACGACTGTCTTCTGCGTAACATTTGGCATGAAATCGGTGCAGGGTGCAGGATCCAAATTATGACTAAGATAGATTTGCTTAGCGAATTTGCTGATGTGATTCGTAATATCCATGCCACTAGGGCCAGCGCCGATTACGAGTACAGTGGTACCTGGAAGAACAAGGTCGTTTATGCTGGTTCATTTTAACATAAATTAAGCCCTGCATTTGCGGTATTTACCTTTAAATGTATCCGGTTTACGATACCAATGACTGTGCAACTTTTTACCTCTATAACTATCTATGCCTTCGATATCTGGCATCAGTGGCATACTATAATGCCCATTACAAACGAAAACGAAGTCAAATATTTCTTTGATAAAAGTGTCATTCTTGATGTCGCGGATGTAGATCTGCGAGAGAAACGAAATAAGTTAAATGTAAATTAATATGTATACAAAAATAATGGAGTTTTTTTAGAAAAAAAAAATGTCAACAAATATTGAATTTAAAATATTAATCTTGTATAAGTAATTATAGCCACTTTACACATTTACACACTGTTATTATTAATTTTCATTTATTTTCAGTAATTTTCGAATTAAAAAATTTTTTTTTTTATTTTTTTAAATTTCTGTTTAATCTTTTTTTAATTAGTTTATTATAATTATTATTTTATTTAATTTTTTAATTTTATTTTAATCTTTTTTTAAATTTATTTATTATTATTATTTTATATTTTTTCATATCTTTTCAGTACTTTTCGAATTGATTTTTATTTTATATTTTATTTCTTTTTAGTCTTTTTGTAATTAATTTAGTATTATTATTATTTTATTTTATGTTTTAATTTCTTTTTAGTCTTTTTTTTAAATTTTTTTACTATTATTTTATTTTTTAATTTCTTTTTCAGTATTTATTGAATTTGTTTTTATTTTTAATTTCATTTTATTGTTTTATTTTTGTAGTCTTGCTTGATTTCATTTATTATTATATTTATTTTTTTTTATTTCTTCTTAGTCTTTTTTAATTTATGTATTATTATAATTTAATTTTTTTATTTATTTTTCAGTATTTTTTAAAATTAATTTTTATTTAATTTTTTCACTTTTTTTCAGTATTTATTGAATTTTTTTTTAAATTTTTTTATTATTATTATTATTTTATTTAATTTTTTTTATTTCTTTTTCAGTATTTTTTGAATTCATTTCTATATTTTATTTTATTTTATTTTTGTATTTCTTTTTTAGTTTTTTTTTTTTTAGTTTATATATTATTATTTTTTTTTCTATTTCAGTTTTTTTTAAATTCATTTCTATTTTGTATTTTATATTATTTCGTTTTTTAGTTCATTTTAAATTTTATTTTAGTTTTTATTTACTTTCTTTTAAATTCCTTTTCAGTATTTTTCGAATTCATTTCTATTTTTTTTTTTCGTTTTATTGTTTATTTTAAATTTTATTTTAGTTTTTCTTTAATTTTTTTTAAATTGCTTTTTCAGTATTTTTTGAATTCATTTCTATTTTTTATTTCTTTTCTATATTTTTTTTTTTAAAATAAATTTTTTTTTTAAATTTATTTTTAGTTTTTGTTTTTTTTTTAACTTACCTCCCATTTTTCATCCAAAGGACGCACACGTATTATCTCATGCTGCAGCTTAATGTAGTGTGATAAATCGAAATGTTGCGCATACGACTGCAAGAATTTCAGCACTTCGGCAGACGGTACGAATGATTGCTCGATTTCCGAAGGATATGAGTAATCCGGGTAACCCATAACCTCTTTGGGCAGATTTGTGCTTTACATTTTTAAATATACGTAAAAATATGAATAGCAATAAGAGTAAAAAAGAAATTATTGCCAGAACCAACATATTTTGATTAGTCTTATGTAGACATACCGTAAACCCTCGTACATGCTGCTATGCACATCATTTTCACCTGGTTTCGTATACACCCAGGTGCCACCGATCTCGCTACATTGCTCATAGGCGATCGCGTCCATGCCCTGTTGCAGTGAATTTTTCAACGCGCAAAGTCCTGCTGTACCAGCACCAATTACACACACACGCTTGCCATTGGTAGCCATTTTGAATAAAGCTTTACACTGCTTCTTTTAATTACACTTCTGTGTATATTTTACGCTCTTTTAAAGTTCCCTTTTCGTTAGGCACTTTGCTTCCGCTACACTACACTTCCTTTCACATTCAAGGTTCGAACACTATTATGTACCGTTACACTTTTGTAGTCACAAATATATGCATTCACCACGTTTTTTACCGTGCTCTCCAACTTGTACGTCTGCTTTGTTAGATCACCAGGAAAATACTGTGATCGACAGCTTGCTGTCAGCGCCAACATCACCAACGTTTCCGTCGTTTAACGGCTCAGACTGCGCGCTGCGCTACAACAGCATACACATACGGCGCGCTGCTGATGCCGACGTCGTTTTACATACAATTATTGAATACGTTTACGAACAAATTGACGTTTGAAACCAAATCGCTTGGCTTATCTGTTCACAACCCCAAGAAAAAATGGTAAATGCGACAAACAGTCAAGCGTTTAGCCAATGCTTTGCTGCAGATGTTGTCGCAGATAGTGTTTTTTTTTTTATTACTATAAATATGGTATAGTGGTATGCGTCAGATCACATGTGTAGCGAGCGGTTGCGCATAGTGGTTTAGTCAGTCAGGTGCTATACCGTAACCCATCATCATCATACCATGATTTGGATACTTGATGCGTTTCTTGCGCTTGCGCAAAGCGTTAGCAGTAATCAAAGTTGTGCAGTTTTTGCAGTAATTGATTATTTACCGATAGTAAATATTTGGCAAACTTGTTTACGCTTGTAAAGCTAGCGGCCGTTAGTAAAACTCGACAGTGGAAAATTGTTGTGAAAACACTTTTATTAATATCAGATTTTAGTTTTAGCATAAAAAATGTTTGTTAAACGTATGTTGTTGTTTTAACGGCACATCACCGCGCACAAGGTTAAGAAAAGCCACGCTGAATACATGCAAAGTGCTTATCTATGACATGGAATAGCATAGTCTGCATCACGAATTTACGTCGTACATCATAAATTGCGTCGTGCACTCACCTAGCTGCACATAAATTGATAATTCATTAATAATTGCAACAATATATAAGCACTCTTGTATTAATTATATATTCTTTTATTGATAGCAGGGCCAACCTACATTTAAAACTTGACCTTGTACGCCGTAGGCATTCAGCGTTCGCATGCCAATCAACTATTTACATAGTTGCTGCAGAGAGCCAAATTTAAATCATCTTAATAGTTATTTATAAATAATTTACACTTTTCTGCACTAATTATTCGTTTTTTTTTGTTTAGCTAACAACTTTTGCTTTTTTGTTGCTGACAGCTGCTAATTAGCGAGATTAAGTAAATTAAAGCGCATCCGTTTTCAATTATGTTTGCGTAACGGTCACTTTGTTGTTTCTTTTGCTAAATAATTGCTTATTAAAATATGTTATTTATTTGACACTTTCGTTGTCAAATTGAAATTTTTAAAGGCGCATGTTGGCGGCTAATCTGTTAATTAAAAACTAACTAACTAAAAAAATCGTTTCTTGTACATGCAAGTGTAACAAATCATATTGTTCAAATGCTGAAAGCGATCGGCTATTTTTGCTTTGATTTTTTGAATTTTTGTAGCTGTAACACGTGTTTTTTGGTTATCAATAACTTAATCATTATGAAGTTTAAATCTCCAGCAGATGTGCGCGCATCTAGACGAATGTTACTGAACCAATAAATTGTCAACTTTTTTCCACTAATTAATAATTGCTAATGATTTTTTTTAAATTTAAAAATTAAAAATTTTTTTCATTACAATTTCCTGATGGAATTCGTGAAAATTCCGGAAGTTTTCAGACGTGCAATTCTGTAAATACTTACCAATAAGTAATTACGTGCAAAATTGCCACAAACCAATAAACGACTTAAAATATTCGTGCAAATAACGGTAGCTGCATATTAGGCGAAACTTGTTTCATACAAAACACACATTTCATCAGCTTAAATTGCTGGTTTACTCGCATATCCCGTGCTGCATGTTTGTATATATGTATGTACCTATAAATTTTCGTTTTCTAACATACATGCGCACATATTTACTTGCATAATTTGGGTTCAATTGAAATGTTTGTATATTTTACGAACTGTTGCAATACCAACATTAAAGTATAGAATGCCTACTCGCGCTCATATCAAGGAAAGAGCAAAAGTTCGCTAAAATAATAAAAGTCTAGTCTCGTTTGATAAGCGCCTATGACAACAGCCGGCACCGAGACTTCCCCGTGCCGGTGCATATGCTCAATGCGATCTTTGAACGGCAGTGTGCAAGCGTGTGTACGCGGTCCATACATTGTATGATCGTGTATGATTACTGGAATAGGAAATAAGCAGTAGTCTATATATTATATTAATTCGATTTCATTTTGTTATTATTTGATTTTGATTTCCAAGCACAACCGTCATGTGGCATATTCACTATAAACTATTTAGCCTTATCATTGTTTTTTTTTCGCCAATAATTTAATGATCTCTCAATAACGATTGTTCGGTGTTGTATACCAGGTTTCTACTTCGATTCGTGACGTGCAACCAAATGTTATAGGTTAAAACTAGGATTCTACAAATTTAAAACCGCCCACGAAAGGCTTATGACAAAATAAAGGCGTTCAGTATTCAAGTGATCATTTTAGCAGTTGCAAATTTGAATGGTAACTGTGAATGGACTACATACTCAAAAGTAAGCAAGTCAAGCGGTTTTTTTGTGGAAATGAATATTTGTAAACAATATATACTAGATCAATGAATATTTGTAAATTAATTGCGCACTGGCTTAGAAGACTCATTAACAACTTAATTATTACAATTTTCTCCATTTCTCTCCCTCTTATTACATTCCGCAAATTTTCGCTTTAATTATATTATTGACAAGTGATAATTGTGCTAAATCAGCATTTATACTTGTATATGTATATATATCATTATATATATACTATAAATGTATTATATATATTAAACAGATTTATAAAATATATATAGTTTGTTTACTTCGGTTTTGAAATATTCATTTAACTATATATTTATAATTTATAATTTTTTTTATTCTTTTAAGTTTTAGAAATGTCCATACTGATATCACCATTAATGTTTTTTTTTATTTCCATGCTTGAAAAAGTATTAACTTTTTACGACATTTAAATTACGATCTATAAACATATACATACATATGTATAAATATATAAGTACATGCATACAGTATATATACAATATATACATATGTAAGTATATTGCGTTAATTGGCATTAAAATAGGTCAGGCGATAATATTCACTTACAGAAATCACATAGAAAAGGCACACGCCCTTGTTTATAGGAAGAAAAATTCAACGATTGAGCGTAAATTGAATAACAAAGTTATTTCTTTAATTTTTATTAAGTAGAAAATATTTTTGCAATTTTTACGTACTATTGACTAGGGTGGAGCGAATTTTTTTTGCTTAGCCTGAGGGTCAAATTTGTAGATTATAAAAACAAAAAATTTATGGAAAAAAACAATTTTTTTAACATCTAGAGGCTTTTTACTTTTTAAGTAAAGTTTCGAGTGAAAATTTTTATTTCGTATAAAATTTTTGATAAGTGTTCTAAAAGCTGTGGAGAGTCCTCTTTCTGGCCAATTAAAAGTTATCAACTTAAAAAAAATTGTGTGGTCATTATTGGAGTTTAAAAAAAGTCTTAAGCGACAACATGCTTTCCTTAAGCGTTAATATAAATTTTGAGTCAAAAACAGTCAAATTCGGTAATTTTTATATAAATGTGTAGAGTTTAAACCAAAAATATTTTTTTTTTTCAAATAAAATTTCAACTTGAAATTTACTTTAAAAGTGATTGGCCCACTAGAGTTAAAAAAAAAATTTTTTTTTTTCAAAAATTTTCTTTATATATAGTCTACAAATTTTACCCTCATGTTAAGCAAAAAAAATGTTTGCTTTCGCTCCACCCTACTATTGTCAACACTAATCGTTAATCAGGGGTTAGATTTTAACGTTATTTAGGTATTAGTCACAGCGTTATAAAATGGCCTGACAAGCCCACTTTTATGATCAATATTAATTTATGAATATATACTGAACATGCGTATGCGAGTATATAGTTTCGAATTCATTGATTAAAAACTTTAGCACGAACATGTTTTGCTTGCATGCTTGAATGGTCAATCGTAGTAGTGTTTTCAGTTGAAGCGACACTGATTTTAAAATTACTACGCATTTTATTATACTTATACATATATATTTATATTTATTGCTAATCAAAGACGTAAAATATTAATTAACCTAATAAGTATTTGTTCTGCCTAAATTTTTCATATTTAAGGTTTTGTGAATATGTTTACTGCTTTAGATATGCTTAACTATATTTTGTTAAATTTTATTTTTAACGCTCTCTAGCAACCTAATTTATTTGATATCATTTATATTTACACCAGCATGCTACTAAAACCTATTTAAATACAAAAACATTAACCGTTATATTCTGCATTAAACCGTTCATAATGGCATAAAGTGAACGTAATCCGAATTAAATATTTATTAGTTTAATTTTAATGAGGCCTAAAAGTATGCTATAATCAAAAAACCACCGCGCGTTATAAGCAAATATCGCCCTAGACAACAAAACAATTACGTAAAGCATTGAAGCTTCTACCGAAATTGTGCAAAACATATAAAACGTTGTGGATTTAGATAATATAAAAGTTTATCAATTTTATTCTTAAACAAAATGTATTTTTGGGGTAGTGGTTGAATTCGACATGATGATTGCGAACTAATATACGCGTTGTATACATAATAGAAAAAAAACTGAATTTTATCTAATTATAAAGCAACTGCTGGTAAATTTTTGTTTAGGAAAAAAATAATAATAAATGCACTACGGTTTATATCAGATGATGAATGTCGACATTGTAGCCTTACAATTTCCCTGTTAATTCTGGCACAGCTTTGAAAAGATCTGCCACTAATCCAATATCTGCCACCTGGAAGATTGGTGCTTCGGCATCTTTGTTTATAGCCACTATTGTTTTAGAGTCCTTCATGCCAGCCAAGTGCTGTATGGCGCCAGAGATGCCGACAGCGATATATAACTGTGGTGCAACAATTTTGCCTGTTTGACCAATTTGCAGATCGTTGGGCACATAACCAGCATCAACGGCGGCACGAGAAGCACCTACAGCAGCACCAAATTTGTCAGCCAAGTCATAAAGTAGTTTAAAGTTATCACCAGATTTCAAACCACGTCCACCAGATACAATCACTTTGGCACCAGTCAACTCTGGACGGTCCGACTTAGTGAGTTCTTGCGAAACAAATTCACTCAATTGGGAGGCATAATCTCCAGTTGGTGCCTGTTCAATGGCACCGCTGCCACCAGTAGCAGCGACAGGTGCGAAATTCGTACCACGTACAGTTATTACTTTAACGGGATCTGTGGAGCGTAGCGTCAATATGGCGTTACCAGCGTAAATAGTACGCACAAAAGTGTCTTCGCTTTTTACATCAATAATTTCTGAAATAGGCGAAACATCCAATTTAGATGCAACGCGTGGAAGTACATTTTTTCCAAAGGCAGTGGCCGCCGCCAATATATGTGTAAACTTGAATTGCGATTGAGCTGCCAGCACTAGTGGTGTGATAGATTCCGGAGTGAAACCCTTGAAAGCTGCGTTCTCCGCCACCAACACTTTAGCAACACCTTCGACCTTGGTAAGTGCTTCAGATGCCTAGAAATTGTATACACGTTATTACATTGTACTTGATTATGCAAACATATATACGTAGGTATGCAATATAAGCGAGTAATACACTTACCGGACCACATTTGGTACCAGCTACCAATACTGTGACATCACCACCGATCTTCTTTGCCGCTGAGATGGTGTTTAATGTAATCGGATTTAGTGCTTCATTATTATGCTCAGCAACCACCAAGGTGCTTTTGCAGCGGTTGATCTGTAATAAATGTATTATTGTTTTGTTTTCACGTGGGTTTCATTATTGCTCTTTGCTTACCAAACTGCTGCGAATAAGATTCCTTGCATTGGAACTGAACATTATAGTTTGAAAAAAATAATAAATAATTACAAAAATAAATTCTAGGTAGTTTAGCTGCAATCTCCTATAAAAATGTTCGTTGATAAGACTTTTTTCCTAAATCACAATATCGTTAATTAGGCGATCGCCACGAAGGTCCAAAAGTCGAATAAGTCTTCAGACAGCTGTTCATGGTAAGTTATTCAACTGGTGGGTTTGTGTCTCAACTATGCTGTGCTACTGTCAAATTTGAATAATTTAAATGCTATATAATACATAAGTCATATGGTTTAAATAATAACATATGGTTTAAATAATAACAATGTAGATAATTTACAAGATTCTTTTGCCCTTTTTGAATATACATATTTATAACGCAATAATCGCACAATTGTATTTGCAAACTTACCACAGTCATTGAGAGATTTGACTGTGTGTTGATAACATTTTGTGGTAAAGTGGCATCATTGATTGTTGACATGTGTGCGTGCGTACGACAATATGTCATCTTTGTAATATATGACAAATATCTTCGTAAATATTTATAGTGTTTTCCATATAATAAAATTTTGATAAATATATTGGTAGTTTTCTACAACTTTTACAATTTTAAATTCAAAGTGTATTCAAAAGTAAATAAATATTTTTTGTTGTCCGTGCGACAACTATCAAATAGTAGCAAGGCAATGGCACGTTCAATACCGGATAGGTAAGCAGTTGCAATTTAGTGCAGTCTGAAGCACAAATGTATTTCCATTCATATAAGTATGTAATAATTTGCAGATGGCTTAACTATACTCCAATGGGTCAACGGGTTGAAGGGACACGGTTTATTGCATTTAAAGTGCCGCTTCGCGAGGTGAGCATTTTAAAGAAAAACGGTAAATGTATAGTTTAGGTCGCACAACTAAGGAGACCTCAAAAATGATTTTTTTTTAAATCGTCTTATTTTTACGCGAAGACTTCAAATCCGTGAGCGGAAAGTGAATTTATTTTAATTGGTTTTGGTAATCTTTAAGAAAGGAACCCTACAAATCCCTACGATGTTTGCATGACTTGTCATTGCAAAATTAATTTTTTTTCAAAAATAAACCACAACGATAACAATTCCAAAAACCGGTTTTAATTATATCGGCACTATCGTAATCAAAAGTGTTTTATAGGTTACAGGACTTTATAGTGGCCAATATAAAGAAACCTAAAACTTGCTAAAATATTTGCATACATATAGGCTTATCTCTAGAACGCATGTTTGTACATATGTCTGCTATTACATATATACCCTTAATATGTACATACATATATGCATGTAGTTTTCGATAAAAAAGATTTTTAATTATTAAAATAAAGCTAAAATAAAACAAAGGGATGTATACCGCGAGTTTGTGGACCACACACCTACTGACTGATGGTGCCGGAACAACAAGCTGAGGCGCCATTTCCTATTAAAGTCAAGGAAAATATGAAGATGAAATTAAATTGTTTTACTTAATTAAATAACAGCAACTCCAAAGGGAGCCGGGAGTTGGCATTGGCGGTTAGCGGTGGTTGTCATATGTTTTTTTTTTTACCTGTGCGCCTTTATTCTTGTCATATTGCTATTTACTGAATGCCTTGCCTCTACAACTTTCCGAACGCGGCGTACGTTGCATGAACGCATTCTTTGTTGCGGCTTTAAGTTAAATTTATATTAATTATACCACACAGAAATGCGCTCGCAGGCAAGACATGTCACACCGTGGCTGAAAAGGCGCACGCATGCGCAAGTGTTTAGTTGAAACTGTATACGCGTATGCGTATTTGTTGTATTGAGAGAGTGACTTTTATTATTTTTCGTTAATTAAGCAATTTATTTTGTCAGACATTTAGGGTGGTCTCTTTGCTAAATGACTTGCGGGCCTATGTTGGTATTTTTCAATTTTGTCTTTGCATAATGAATTGCGTATATTTTAAGAGTTAACACAAGCTATAATAATAAAAAACATAAATATATGCATTTTTGCGTACAAAAAATCCACAAGCAAAACATCAGTTTTTATATTTTTGATTCGTATGTTCAAAATTATAATTTTTTTCGTTTTCTATAGGCGGTTAATGAAAATGTGGAGGAACAGCGTCGACTCGATGTAACAATTTTACTGAAATCAATACCGAACTTGGGTATGATTATAGATCTGACGAACACTTCACGTTATTATACGCCAGATGTAAGCATTTTTGCATAGTTCCATTTAATAATATCTATTAAATAATAAATTATGTATTTTTACTTATATATATTTTTTTGGGCACATAGTGCTTTGTAAATAAGGGCTTGGAGTACAATAAATTAATGATACCTGGCCATCATATACCACCGCCATATTTGGTTCATCGGTAAGTATTGCTTAAATCTATTCATAAATACATATGTATGTGTGTGTAATTTTTTTAAATTGCTTTATGATTTTTTTTGTTATATTTACAGCTTCAAAAAACTGGTTTTTGATTTTTTAAATAAAAATGCGGGTAACGGTAAGTAACTCAATAAACGAAATAAAGCTTTTTGCTATTGCCTTTTTATATGCAGTATTTATGTAAAATTAAAATTTTTATGTAAAATGTATTATTTTAGTATCAACGCGTGCAACATGTACGCACCCACATCCTAACTAAAAGTCTTTTGTTTTCTGCTTCCTTCACTGTATGATTCATGCCAATTATGAGTATTTTGCAAGTGCAGCTACTTTAGCATAATATGTATAAGTTGTGTATACCTTTCTAAATGGCAGATTGTGGACAAGTTACCACTTCGTGCTAACGTCCCACGCGATTAAGTCTGCCAATTAACCTAGACTTTTAAAACGTGGACCAAAATTCCAACAATTACTTTCTCAAGTAGTCATAAGCCGTAAGGAAAATGCTATACATTGCCTAATCAGTACAACCACATTATCTTTTCTAGCTGATTTTACAATTGTCACGTTTATAGTGATAATAAAAGTTAGTTTGTGTTGAGTTAAGTTCCAGGAATACATCTTTTTACTGTTAAATGTTGTTTTTTTTTTTTTTTTGCTTCTTGACAAGTTGTCCATAAAGTGCTCACAGTGCTTGGCAAATCAAAGTTTGTCGGCTTGACTAAAAAAATATTCCATCCTTTAAAGGTTTTTTTTTTAGCAAAGCCACAATTTACGCGGCGGTCAATAAAATTAGTGCAGACATAATACAAAGCTAGGTAAACAATGCACTCACAAATTGATATTGCAAACATAACGATATGAACAAGTAAAGCACAACTAACAACAAATCAGTATTTGCGGTGGTCTTGTCATCAACAACAGTAATATCAAGGCTGGCCAAAACCGTGGCGTCTGAAGAAGCGACAACTGCGCCAACAGCTGCAGTAGCGCAGGCGGCAGCTGCTGTGAGTGGTCGCTGTAGCCTACTCACCATTCGCCCGCTACGTAATAGTTCAAGCAAGCTATGCAAACATGACGAATCTCATGTAAGATGCGCATGCGCATAGCACTCGCTTCTACTTGCTGTGCAAATGCTGCTGTTGCGCTGACATGTTTTTCGAAATTTATTGCCCATGTTAAACACTATGTGTGTTGTTGTTGCTGTTGTAGTTATTGTTGGCGTTGCAACTTCTACGTCTTCGGCTTTCAACAGGTTTGCATTTGCGCATTTTTTACTGTGTTTGAATACTATACTATGGCTGTTGCACGAGCATTTAGTTTATTTTGCGTACGCAGTGACTGCAGCCGCAATCTCTTTGGCAGCAACATTTGCGTCGCAGTGTGTGGGTGTTGACATATTTTTGCGGTTGGTTTTTGTAAATTAAAATTTTGTGGTCGATTTCTTTTATGCACTTTTACATTTTGGTGCGCATTCTTTGCGGCCTTTGTTAGCCGACAATGGCATCTTTACTGCAAATAATATTTGCTTTGTGCCATTTTTTCAACATATATACTTATGACTCAAGCGATTTCTCGCTACGAGCTATTCCTCTAGGAGAATGTGAATGGCTGCAGGCGAAGTTTTGAATTCTTGCGATATCGTTGTAAAAATTTTGCAGACGTCTTTTTCTCGCCAAGAAGCGGCTCATTTGTCGAAACCGCCGTTATCGGACCACTATAGCATATAGCTGCCATACAAACTGCACAAGCAAAGTTAGGTTTTTGTATGGAAAACTCTTTTATTTGAAAAGATATATTCACGAAATTTGGCATTGATACATTGTCCAAGGCAACGGTGCTAGTCGCGAACAAATTGTTCAGATCGGATCACTATAGCTTATATCTGCCATACAAGCATATGTTTGCCATATAAACTTATTAAAGCTTTTCATGTTTTTTTCCCTCTAATAAGCGTTCATTTCGGCAAAAATATGCGTTCCTTCGCCAGTTATTAAAAACTCTGAATTATTTATAATATATTTCATATAATATACTCTTCAATTCTTTTCAGATAAACTTATTGGTGTTCATTGTACACATGGCGTCAATCGTACTGGCTACTTGATTTGCAATTATATGATATCTGAGCTAGATGTGAAACCCGAAGATGCAATAGACAGTAAGTAGTAACAAACTTATTTATTTCTACTATCAAATGTAAAAGTTAGTATATAAAATTAGTACTACGTGCATGCCGCATTCATAATTTAATATGTTATCGGTAGAACAATTTTTCGAAATTTATTCTAACAATTTATCGGTAAAGCTGCACACGTTTTGATTTTCTCTTCCTTACGTCAGAATTTAATCATTCGCGCGGTCATAAGATCGAACGGAAAAACTATTTAGATTCGCTTTATGATTTAACAAAAGCTGCACAAAATGCCAACAGCACCGAAAGTAACTATAACGCGTTAAAACCAGATACCAAATCTTTAATTGAAGCGTCTAGCAAGAAACCAATCTCAACTCAAGAACTTAAATTACCGCCGTCACCCAATGACCTCGACAGGCGCGCTCGTTTCGAACGAGCACTTTCATGGCCCGCAACGCAGGAGCTTAAATTAGCGCCGTCACCGAAGCATTTCGATAGGCGCGATCGTTTCGAACGTATACGACAGGATGCAAATATGCAACAACAACGCATCACCAGTGCTGCCAATGCTGCAGCAGCAAGTCCAGCGCGCCAATTGTTGGATAACAGCTTTGCCAATTCACAGCGAAATGAGCGCAACTATAGCAGTCGTTATGTAAATACTAGCAGACATTTGAATCAAGGTAATTCGTAAATCATAGCGTCTACCTCAACATATGTTTTAACTTATCAATTATAGGTGGTGCAAGCTATCCCTATCCTAATCGCCAACACCAAGACACAATACGTGCGAATTATAACCAATACGTTGATTATGCGCAGAACAATTACCGTTATGAGGACAGCACATATCAGAGGCGTTATGAACTGAACAAACGTTTGCCTCAAAGCAGTAAACATCGCAATCATCCATATCGGCGCATATAGATTTTGTGTGGCGCTTAAATTGCCTTGTGAATTTGTATATATGTACATATGTATGTTTATGCATATGTCTATTTTTGGACATCCAGTTTATTTTGATAAGCACAAGCGCGAACTCTGCGATATTCGTCTAACAACTGTTGGTATGCAATCAACAAGCATTATGCAAATTTTGAAATTATTTTGAAAATAGTTGACAAGTTTTCTGATTTAGCGTATAAACTCAAAATTTTAGAAAAAAAATTGTTAATTGCATTTTAAGCTTTACTTGAAGCAAGTTGTTTTAACTAAAATTTGCATAGTAAATATCAAAGAAAATTTTTTAAACAGTTGTGTAACAGAAATTTATATACAAAAAGATTCGCTTAATTATGCTTTCAATAAAAAATCTAATGTACACACATAAAAAACTATCAAGTAAATACTTACAACAAGTTTAGCATCGTTTTTCACTACTTGAACTAACTTATGTTCTTAATAGTTTAAATATAAGCTTTTAAACGAGTACTAACCAAGCCACTTTGTGCCAACTACAAACATACACACACACACACATGCATAAATATTGCATAGATGACACGCATAAAAAAATGCATCAAAATATCATATTTATCTGCAACCTTTAAGCGCAATCGCTCCACTGACCAACTTCATACTCGAACGCGACGAGATTTTAATCGCGATCGCGATAAATAATATGTATGTAGCTTGTTGCGTTGTAATTACCGCCAATTTGTCGTTGTCACAGTAATGCGGCGGCAATTCGCCACAGACGCATAGCTCATACGCAGCTTGTTATAAATTTGAATACACAATCATATGTGCAACATATACCTAACTTGATGTGGTGCGCAGCGGCAGCGCGAGATCTGAGCGCGAAACGCGATCATCGTCACGATAAGCTGATGAGCGTCGAATTGTTAATGCAAAATGTCGGCATAAAAAAATACGCAGTTAAAGGGACAACCGACACGCTGTGTGTGTGTGTGTGTGTGTACACAAATATGACACTTGACCACCATGTCGAAGTAATAATGAACTGATCAAAAGCGTTAAATGCACAAGCTCAAATCGCCACTCGCGCGCACAGCGGCGATAGCGTAGCAAGCGCTATTGTGTGGTAAGTGGCAAGTGGGAATAGTTGCGTCTGCACGCTCCAGGCACCCAAATGACATATGTTTGATAAACGAGCTGGAACGCTAAGTTGCGATTCCGGGAAACCGCTCGCCTTAAGTTGCATGTAAATGCGCGCGTATCTACACACGATCACCGCTGATCTTTAGCGCTCCACCGAGGCAACGTGCGCCGCGACGCTTGCTGTAAAAATGAGATGTTTTCTGCTGATAAGCCGCATCACAACATGTCAAGCAATTGGCGAAAGCATCAGATTTTCTACCTGCTTGTCGCAAATGAATTTTAATTGGTTGTCAACTTAAGCGCTTTTGTTGGCACCGTTGGGCATGAAAACAGCGTGACGGCGAAATATTCATAATATGTGTATATACATATGTTTTCAGCTGTGGGAAAAATGAAGCATCAAAGAGTGAGAGCGCAGGAGCATTGTACTAACTTTCTTTGCAACAAAACAACTGCGGTTGCAACTAAGTAGTCTTAATTTATTAAATTAATTGATGCACGTTTCACAAAAAAAAAATTTTTTTTTTAAATCTTTTATTATATTACATTTAGTTAGATAAAAACTAAATTTAACGTATCATCCAGTGGCCAATTCGACATCCGTTGCACAAATGCAAATTGTCTGCAGCAACCACCTACATACTTGCAACACATGGCGCCTGGTAGGAATTGCAGATTTTTTACTTCACAAAGAGCGTCCCAAGTATACCATAGATACACCGAAAGAATTTAAAACCAGATTTTTAGGAATAAGTATTTCATAGCTATATATTTATATAATAATATTTGATGTACAATTTAATAAATTATCGGTAAATATATAAATTTCCATAAAAATTTTAGTAATTATTTTGTTAATATTGAAATAATAGCGTAAAACGTAAATTAATTGCTTTTTTCTATGAAATGCAAACTGTCACCTTGTGTGCACTGATTTCCGGCGCCTTAAGGTATGCAACGAGCGTGTGGAATTTCTGGAACGTGAAGCTAAAAGTGCTTCTGCGGCAGTTACCTACTCCACCGGTCTGGGCGCCTGGTGCAAATCGGGGAATTTGGCTGGTGCATTCGCAAGCATTTTCAGGATACACTGAAAAAAATGGTTGAGTGTGCGTGTAATTTTGGCGCAAATTATTTGTAGAATGTTAATGGTGGGGTTTTGGTAGAAAATTATTATTTGGTTATGTTGGACTTTTATATTTTTTGGTTATGATGGACCTTATACTTTTTGGTTTGAATGAGATTATTGAAAAATTATAATTTAAGAGAAAATATTTATGTGAAAGTTAAATGAATATTTTTAGACATTTTATTCAAGCATATAACTTATTGACAGTGGAAAAAAACTGTCATAGAACTTTTTATATATTTTCATACACTGAACAGAGTTATTAAGTTTGCCATGACGTTTGTAACACACTAAAGGAAACGTCAGAGACCCTATAAAATATATCATATATCAAAATGATCAGCATGATGAGCTCAGTCGAAACTAGTGTCTAAACTAGTGCCTCAGTTTTTTGAGATATCGATCTGAAATTTTGCACACGTAGTTTTCTCCGCAAGAAGCTGTTCATTTGTCGGTATCGCCGATATCGGACCACTATAGCATATAGCTGCCATACAAACTGAGCGATCAAAATCAAGTTTTTTTATGGAAATCTTTTGTATTTGACGAGATATCTTTACGAAATTTGGTATACAATATTTTCTTAGACAACGCTATAATATCTGAAGAAAGTTTTTGGATCGGACTACTATAGCATATAGCTGTCATAAAAACTGAAAGATCAAAATCAAATTTTTGTATGGAAACTTCGTTGTTTGTGAAGGGTATTCCAGCTTACGTTTTTTTTTGTTCAGTATAGAGTTGCCCACTATTTTATAATGTGTGAAAAGTGTGGCAATGTGTTGTTTGCTTTAATTTTTGTGTATGAAAATGTATTTATTGGTAAGTAGCGCTATCAAATTAAAAAAAAAAAGTCTGGTTAATACTGGTTGTATGCTATACTTTATTTTGTTTGAAGTCTTATAAATATTTCCCCTAATAATATTTATATTAATTTATTAGTATTTTACGATAATTGTACCTATTTTCATAGACTTATGTACATATATGTTTTTGCCTTTTGCTCTTCGCAGATATTTTTTTTTAGCAATTTCCACCCGCAATAAATCACGGTCTTGGCATTCAAGCACTGAACTTGTTAAAAGCCGACTATTTTCGCACTTCCAACTGTATGTGCCTGTATGTATGATGCGCATGCGCAACTGCGCAAAATATGCCGTCAAAGGCGATTAACTTTAATCGCTGTTATTTAAATCAATGTCCATTTTAGTGCATTTATTTGGCATTTCACGTACGCTGTGTATGCTGCGCATGCGCATGCAATGCTGTTGTAGTATGCGAGCGCATAGCCCTTACCAATCATTTTGGCGAAGAATCAGCACACAATTTATGAGCCGTGCATAATTATTGCACACGAAAGCGCGCGCGCGCATACATATACACACATTTTATACATTTACAAACATGCGCGTATTTGTTGCATGCAGCATGTGGCGGCTAGTGTGAGAATATGCATTTCGAATGCCGCAATGCTTACAGAAAATAAGAAGACACAATATAATTGCATACTTTTGCCCAGCTCAAGCGCATATTTAAGTGCAAGTGTGATCTTCGCACGCGCATCAACAGCCAATTATGTACACTTTTGCGCATGCGCACCTTTCACGTGTTATTTTACCACGTTTTATTTTTGCGGTGAACCAAGAAAGGTAGGCGAAGTGTTCACAGCAAGTGAGACTGTTTTATTTAGCGCAAAAAATTGAGCGTTGAGTTGGTAATAATCACTTCTTTGCGCTTCAACTAAAACAAGCAGCGTCTCAACGGTTGCCTTCGGATATGCGATTGCGAAGGTATTTGTGTTCCTTTAGGACATTTGCGTAAAGGAAGCGGCAGTCTGTAAACTGCCGGCGTTTTTCGCGTTCTCCACACACACAAGTTGCGCTCTCGCTTAGCGGTGTGTGTATATATGTGTTGTGGTTATTTTAAGTTTCAACCGCTTCTAACTAACCGGGACTTGACGGCCTGCCCGCTGTGCCAATGCTAATCACGCGCCAATGCGGTGCGACGACATCCTTCGACTGTTTGTCTTATATATGCATGTAGATGCGCTTGTACATTTTTCTCTACACATTTTTGGCCAGTAGCCCTATATTTCGGCGCATTCATACACAAGTGTATACCAAATATGTAACTGCGTTTGTTTGCTTCGTTAACTTCAGTGGCCTTGTTCTACAACTCGTCCATTCGACGTATTGGAGCGCGTTCGCTGGTTTGCCGTTGCGGTTCGTAACAAGTTCCACTTATTTCCCATTCATTGCTTTATTCGCCGTTTCCTCGGCCAACGGATTCATTTTTCCCTTCAATACATGATTTGTTATGTTGATATTAATATGCTGAACAAATTGACAATTTATGGAGTCGACGAATTCGATGTTGCCCGTAGAGTCTACGTACGACTGCCATGTTAAATACCGAATGTGTATAGTTATATACAGTAATATAGAAGTATGAACTAAAACTATCAAGATTTTCTTTCTTTTTTTTCAGAGTTTTAGGGCTTGAAATAATAGGTTTCATTCGATGACTGAAAAGTAGCTACAATGTGAAATGTAGACATTTCACACAAAGGTTTCTGCTCAGATACAGTTGATTCTCTCCTTTACTAGACAGCTACATATGAATGTAAGTTTCCATCGACATCGAAATATGTTTACTAAGTCGTATTGGTTCTCGGTAGACAACGGTAAACTATCTATGTAGTGTTTTTCTTGCATGAAAAAGTCTTCATATGACTGCAAGTCGCTCGCAGGCGGCATAAAACTTGGAAGTACCATCATTTGTTGGATAAAATAACGCATCAGTCCACAAATTGGAGAAGAAGTTCGGTCAAATAGCTATACTACATAACAGTTAAATATTCGGATGTGTCCTGAGTTGTGAACACCGTTAGATATATTTTTTTTAAAAATATTTTATGACTGAAGTGCAATCTAAACTACAGATAGGCCGACAGCATTTTTCGTGTTTCGGTATCAAAGACATCCTGAACTGACGCTTTCGAATTCTCTCTCCGTTCTGGACGTTTCCATAATTCTTTTATGGAATCTCTCCTTCGGTAGACGCAATGAGCATACCATCGTTTAAAGTGAACACAGCACAACCGGAAATATAAAGAAATCTTCTTAGTGAAGATAATCTTAATTAAATAAGAGAAATAAGTATCGCACGTCATTACT